AATGTATAGTCATACCTCAGTCTGAGAACAAATAGACTGAGGTAGGATGATGCAGGTATGAGGATTATATATTTGTCTGGCATGTTAGCAATGATGTAAAGATGAGGCATGCATTTGTACACGTGTGCAGTAAGTGAGCATAAAGATAAAGGAATGAATATTAATAGCGAGACTTGCACATTATGTTGAGATATCCAACATGACAAGCCTATGATGGGATCAGAGACCTGGAATAACACCCATATATGTCCATTATAATAGCCCTAATAGTTTAGAAAGATCCATGAAGGATTGATGCAATGACAGGCATATGTGTGAAATGTGACAATAGACATATTTTTACAAAGTTGCATTTATAGATGATTCAGGCCAAAGATTTCATTAAGAATATGTAGGATAGATTGTAAACTACCTAAGGAACCCATACTGCCTACTGCCTTGAGGGTAGGGGGTGGGTGGAAGGGATATAGTAAAAACATGAGTTGACTCAGCATTAAAGTCCTATTATTGCTTCACTGACCATTTTCGATGCTTTGGGTCTTTGAAGTTTCCCACATTCCATTTCTTATCTATTTCACTTCTTCAGTACTCAATTCTTGGCGGATTTGTCTGTAAATTTATGTCTATGATACTTAATATATTTTAAATGTACTCCAGGTTTCTGATCATGAAGATTCAATGTTTTGAATGTATTGGCCCCTTATGAGGAGAAATGGCAAGTATGCACACTAGCTCACAAACTCCAGCCTATTGTGAGCTGATCTTGGTCATAAGAGGCAATAATATAAGCTATGCTCATTATATATTAAAAGGTTGAATCATGGATGCAAGGGCAAGATACTGAAAATGGTGAAAAATGCCAAAAGTGCAATGGTCTATGCTTACATGTAATAACGCTGTCTGTAATATTCAATAATGTAAAAACAAGTAAATATGCACCAGTGGGGATAGATACGACTAGACAGGACATAGGAAGGATGAGTCCAATGCAAAAACATTGGGTCCAAAACTTTCAGGTTGGGGTCGGGCATCGGGATCAGGATCAGAATGTCAGGGATGCATCAGACAAATACTGTTTAATGTGAGTATCAAAAACATGGGTTTTGAGCCCAGTGCCGTGACTATCATTACACCAGGTACCGAGTATCAGAACCAAGTACTGAGTACTGATTTCTAAGTACTGAGTACCGAGTAATGAAATAACCAATTGACAAGAAAAGACTACCAATACACTCACCTTGACATTTTTCATTATCTTTGCCTATTGCACACCGGGTTTTGAGTTTCGGGTTTTGGCACTCAACACTCGGTGATTTGTGCAATGAGTGAAAAATGGAAATATTGCATACATGTTTTTGGGTTTCAGGCTTCAGAATTTGGGCTTCAGATGTCGGGTTTTGGGCCTTGGCACTTGGCACTCTGCACTTGGTGATTTGTGTACCGGGTCTCAAGTTTTGGGTTTTGGTACTCGACACTCAGTGAGTTGTGCAATGAGGGAAAAATGGATATGTTGCATACATATTATCAGGTTTCAGGCTTCGGGTTTCGGGCTTCGGATGTTGGGTTTTGGGCATCGGCATTCAGCACTCAGCACTTGGTGATTTGTGTACCGTATATCGAGTTTCGGGTTTTGGCACTCAACACTCGGTGATTTGTGCAATGAGTGAAATATGGATATGTTGTATACATATTTTCGGGTTTCAGGCTTCGGGTTTTGGGCTTCGGACATTGGGCTTTGGCACTCGGCACTTGGCACTTGGTGATGGGTGTACCAGGTGTCGAGTTTTGGGTTTCGGTACTCGACACTTGGTGATTTGTGCAATGAGTGAAATATGGATATGTTGTACACATATTTTCGGGTTTCGGGCTGTTAGTTGTGTGGTGACTTCACACTAGATAGGTTGAAGACTTCTAAGACTTCGAAGACTTGAAGGACACTTCAAGGACATTACTATATTAGTAGATAACTTCGAGGACTTTGAGGACACTTCAAGGACATTACTATATTAGTAGATAACTTCGAGGACTTTGAGGACTTTGAGGACACTTTGAGGACAGACCTCTAAGACACTTTGGGGACACATACCATACTAGGAATTGTTTATATTTGTTTACATAGACTCGCCCATAGTGCAGAGTTCACAAGTCTTACATGCTTCGTGCATTGACTTTGAACTCTCAGGTATAGTACTTTACTTATTTACACAATAATATCAAGTGCATTGACTTTGAACTCTCAGTTCTTCTAACACTATCTATATAACATCCCCCTCCATTGGCCCACCCGTCTATATAATGAATATTCCACCACTCCCTCGGCCCACCCGTGTACAAAATAATTCCTGTACGTCGGCCCACCCATCTATACAATAAACCATTACATCGGCCTACCCAACATCTTTGAGGATATATATAACATCAGCATAGATGGGCCCACCCGTCTCCATCAGAAATAATATCCCTCCTGGCCCATCCGTTAACATCGGGGATATACATAACATCAGTCCATAGTCCACTGGCCCGTCTTATACGGGATATTATGTAGGTCGGGTGACCTGTATAATATGGAAATATGTCACTGTAATATGTGAGAAGTTTTCACTTACCTTTGGCGATGGAAAATGCGGCCTCTAGGGCTTTGCGGACACAGACGGTGCCTCACAAGAGCACAGGCATGCGGTTTCTGGATACACCTTTCTTCTGGATGGTGGTACCATTACCTGGAGCTTGAAGAAGCAAGAATTAGTAACCCTTTTGATGACCGAAGCGGAGTATGTCACAGCTACACACACTGCAAAAGAAGCTATATGGCTTCGCTGTTTTATCACTGAAGTCTTCCATCTGCTTGTGCACCCAATCATGCTCTACTCCGATAACCAATCCACCATTGTGCTTGCCAATTCTGGCTTGTTTCACGTGCGCACAAAACATATCGATATTTGTTATCATTTTATTCGTTTTTCCATTGAAAAATGGTCTATTTCTCTTGTTTACTGCCCTACTGATAGTATGATTGCAGACACACTCACCAAGCTCCTTCCTAGTCTCAAAGCTAAACATTTTGCTTCCACCCTCAGCCTATGCTCGGCTTGAGGGGGAGTGTTGTATATCAAGTGCTTGTCATAGTCCGTTGGTACCATCTTTTATTTGCTAGTACCTACATATATTGTTTGTTCCCGCACCTCACAGCTTTCCTCAGTTGACTTCGCACGTCTGCTGAGGTTAGTACTATCTTTATATATAGTTCCTACTTAACTGACACTACCTGTAGCTACTGCTGCAACAGGTACATATCAATATATCTAGTTGACTTTGCATGTCCGCTGAGCTACTGCTGCAACGCCTGTGATGCCTTGTGGGGAATTGTGTTGAGTTGTCATAAGTGTGTATGGAAAGCCTAACAGCTGTGCTCCTTTAGTCAGCATCACGTAGCCATAATAGGTAAGAGGACTTCATGCACTCCTGCATCGTCTGTCGTTGGTTTGCACTGGACATCTGGTTTGGTGTTTACGGTAAAGGTTCAACAATTCAGATGGTTAGTCTGAACAATGTTGGGTCTTGCTGCCTAGCTATGTTGTCTAGAAGACAGTGTTTGACCCTAAAGGGTTTCTATACTAAGCTCAAAGCTCAGAGAGAGAGGAAACTATGAAGACTCAAACTCAAGGTGCTGGAAACTGGTGAAGAGGTAACTTGATTATGTAAGCTACAAAATAGCAAACATAAGGTAAAGACAGTATCTACAAGCCTAGTCAGGAATGAGTCTCTACAACGGGTTTTTATTAATATCATTGTTGTTCTTTGTTTTAACCTTACTCACACACCTTGCTTTCCTTTCTAGGGTACTTGTGTTCAGCTTGTACAGCAGGGATAGCCTTATTTTTCTGCAAACTTCTTGGTCTCCCTTCTCATTCGTTTGTCATTCACATTTCTGTGCTTCTCTCCACCTTTATCATGCTGTGGTCAGCATGGTGATTCACACCAATTCCTGGTAGGCACTAAGTTTTTGCTTTGCATATCTGTAGAACTCGAACTCCCCTCCCTATAAAGTCTGGTTTGGCCTGTCCCTGCCCCAAGACTGAGTAGTGGAGTATCACTTCCCTTTCCACCACATCCATATATTCCAATTTTATTTTTGCTAACCATCTGCCCACTGACTTAATCTCTATCAGAGTGCCAGCTTTTTGAGGAGTGGGAGTTCTGCAATCAAATGCTGATCCCCAAGCATCCTTGATACCCACACCTTTTGCACAAAAATTCCATTGGCTCACATGCTTAGTATCAGTCTTGGTCATGACATTATGTGCGAGTGCAATACTACATTGTGATTGACTTGTTGTCCTTATTATTCAGTTCTCTTTGTTGTCTTCCCTGATTCTCTTACCTAACTGGACTCCTGTGATTGCATCTGTGGCACTCCCAAGTCCGACCTGCTAGATTGAGCGCTGAACGATTTGATTTCCAGTTTTGACTTGTCCAAAATGTGGACAGTGTGTGCATTCAACTGATAGACCTTTATCATCCTATTGTAAGTGCTTATTCTTTTAGGTTATTTGGACTCACTTGTTGTTCTTTCCGATTGAATGCATGTAATGTAGCTCTGATCATGACAAAAGTGTTAGAAGAACTGAGAGTTCAAAGTCAATGCACATGATATTATTGTGTGAATAAGTAAAGTACTATACCTGAGAGTTCAAAGTCAATGCACGAAGCATGTAAGACTTGTGAACTCTGCACTATGGGCGAGTCTATGTAAACAAATATAAACAATTCCTAGTATGGTATGTGTCCTCAAAGTGTCTTAGAGGTCTGTCCTCAAAGTGTCCTCGAAGTCCTCGAAGTTATCTACTAATATAGTAATGTCCTTGAAGTGTCCTCAAAGTCCTCGAAGTTATCTACTAATATAGTAATGTCCTTGAAGTGTCCTTCAAGTCTTCAAAGTCTTAGAAGTCTTCGACCTATCTGGTGTGAAGTCACCACACAACTAACAAAAAGTCCCACACCTAAGACACAAATACCAGTCTTGAGGAGGGATCAGGTCATTATCAACATTTCTTATGTTAAGCTGGCGTAGCTTGGCATTCACGTACTGGAACAATTTACCTTCATAATCTGGAAGAACTGTCGGTTCATAGAAATCGTTAGTCGTGATGCTTCCTTCTTTTGTACTCTCCTTTAACCCAGTGTCTGCAGTAGGCAAACTTTCAGTGACTTTTCCAATCACACTGTCTGTTCCTTTATTGAGAACTTTTTTGGTGATCCTTGCATGTTTGCCTTCCATAGCTTGTTGCGTACTTTTGGGTACCTTGGGGTATGTCATTTCAGTTACATATGTCAGTTAAATGGAGGAGTTTCATTTACCGCATACAGTTTCTCTGTTGTGACAATAATGAACTCTGGTGCACTAGATGTATCAGTGCCTGCATTTGTGGTCCATTCCTTGATGTTCATGTCGCAAGAACAACTTTCGTGGTTCGAGCAAAGAACTAGGTGCTATAAGTTCTAAACCATGCAGAGCACATGCCCGATTGAGCAATGCAATATGTGAAGACCAAGGGCCCAAGTAAACACCCAAAAGATACAAGAAAACAACTGGAGTCAACATTGAAGATGACAGAAACAGGCAAATGGCCAATGAATGAGGTCATGGTAGTAAAAGTGCACGAAGGGTGCAAGCATGGGACTAAGGGGGAAGTAGGCATGGGGTCATCGACGTGACAGTGATCAATACAGTAATTGTGAGAAACCTGAAAAATACAGTCCAATTGATCATGACCATTCAAGGCAACATATGCTTTATAAAGTGAAAAAAGAGGGGTGACGAAATTGTGAAATCTACTGCCAAAACATGAAAATAGTGATAATTTGTAGCAGGCTATAAAACCCACTCCCTAAAGGTAGTGGGAATATTACTCAAGAATCATCCCTGCTGCTACCATTGGCAGCAGACTTGGCAGTGTCATCTATGCTACCATCTGCCTGCTTTGCAAAAGATTGCAGGCTGAAACCTGGCCATTCGCAATAATAACTACATATATGCTGCTTTTCAAACTTGCTAACAGCAACCTCCATGTTGCCATCTCCAAAGATATTGATGCCTTGGCTCACAGTGCTGAGGGTACAGTTAGCATGAATAAAATTCCACATATATATGCTCTTATGGATGCGTCAAGATTTGGGGGTTGGTCAATAGCTTGGAGCTCCCTGGAATTTTAAGACAGTCAAAACCTGAGTATCATTTAGCATCTTAAACTTTATGTGCAATGAACCTTGATAGTCTGAAATAAAAGCTAGACCGCTGTAACAATGGTCGCAGCGCTGGGCTTGGAACCAGCTATTTTGATACTGATGTCAACACACTTTCCAACAGTCCGACACATGTCCGATCCCGACCCGACATTCCCGCACATCAGACCAGTCCTCCCTATGTCCTGTCCAGTTGCATCTATCCCCATTAGGTGTGCATTTACTCCTTTTGACTTGCTAAGCATTGTATACAGCATTATTACATGTTTTCTCATGGTCCACAGTACCACATGTCCTATTACATAGGATTTTGGACCCGAAATATCGCTACTACTCTCGCCTATAGCAGTCTGAATTTCTACATAGTCACTATTTAATATCTAGTACTTCCTACCTATTGCATTACTTACTTTTCCCTACTCAGTAGTAGGATGGAAGTCATTGGATATTAGTAGTACTTTATTGTATTGTGAAATATCTATCCACTCTTTTTCTCCAAAACATTCCAACACATCCGACACTCATTTGACCAACAATCCAACATACTTCCAACACATTCCTTCACTGTCCGACACATTCCCGACAATACGGCACATAGTCCGACGCCCAACCTGACTCTGATATTTTTGAACCCGACAGTTTCCCTTCGGACAAGTAGTTCTTAGCTTCGGATTATCTTCCTATTTCTGATACCTAACTATCAAAACTAATACCAAACAGCTACCCCTATAGGATTAAACGCACTTGCTCTGCAAGTATAGCAGACTAGGTTGTGCTAAGATCTACCTAAATATTTGTTATCTAGGTAGTACAATTTCTGCTGAGCCCAGTGGAAATCAGCTTTCTACACCGCATGTCTTGACATACAGGATATGTTGGATAAATGTGAAGAATAAAGCCAGATCATACCAGTAGTCAGATTCATCAAGCAATGGATTCGTGTCCATGTTGTGAATGTATTTCAGGAATGAGTTCCTCTACAAGATAAACTGCACATGCTGTGCTTGCCGACCACTTTGAGGCTACTTTGGACGCAGGCAGTGGACAAAATGCAAACACGATACCAGCATCCACAAAGCAAACCTGTGGGATGTTGAATGGTGGAAGTTCAGATGCGCTAGCCATAGAGCGATTGATGAAGTCATAAGTGAGTTGCAAAAGTGACCAAGCCCAATAAAGAATGTTTGCCTCTTTTACGAGTCTTTTCACCTCATCTGGAAGAGCATGACGGCTGATCTTGTACTTAAGGGATGTGCTGCTAGCGCCTGGTGGGTAAGCCTTGTAGTAAGCCTGCTTGACTGCAACATCATCGCGTGCCTTAGATCCGAGACCAGACGAGGGAGAGGCAAACAGGGTCAACCAGCCTGGGTGCACCGTTTTGAAAGCACCAGCACCCAAAATGCTGGCCATGGATGGATTGATGGTCAGTTGACCCATCAAGCACTCAACAGTCTCGATGTCATAGGATAGGAATTTAGGGTTCTTCAGCATGGCTGCAAGAGGGCATGTTGGTATCGGTTAGTATTGTATATTTTTGTTCTGTAAATCTAACACTATAAAGTATGTCAGGAAAATCAATATACTAGGAAGTCGACAAGAACTTACATTGCCTGACATCCATGTTCACAGTTCCGCCAATCCTCAGTGCCTCACTTAGGCCCTCACGATCAGGGCTCAGAGAGCAGAAAGCACCGCCTGCTGCAAATTTTTTGTGGGGTGGTGACTTGTTGGGGGTGTCATGGTGGGGATGCTGTTGCTGTGCTGGTGTGCTCTTTTTGAGGTCATAACAGACTCTTCAACAGAGGGCAGATCGAGTTGTTGTTCCATCGCTGGTGATGCTATAACCCACACCATGGCCTGCGGAGGTCTGGTGCCAACTCAAACCCATCGGTATGGCAATATTTGGCCCTGACTGACTACCTTGAAGGCCATGTGATATAGCAATGACTCGAGGGGGATTGATTGTAGCTATGATAATATTAAGTATTGCATCATGCGAACAATAAGTGCCAAACTCACCAGTCCTTTGAGCAGCATTGACAGGTCTTTGTATTGCATGTAAATCTGGAGGAGGGTGCAGTGGTGGGTTTCAGTCAGTACTATGACCCATGTGACCCAGTATGTGGAACCCAGTGTTAGAAGAACTGAGAGTTCAAAGTCAATGCACTTGATATTATTGTGTAAATAAGTAAAGTACTATACCTGAGAGTTCAAAGTCAATGCACAAAACATGTAAGACTTGTGAACTCTGCACTATGGGCGAGTCTATGTAAACAAATATAAACAATTCCTAGTATGGTATGTGTCCTCAAAGTGTCCTCGAAGTCCTCGAAGTTATCTACTAATATAGTAATGTCCTTGAAGTGTCCTCAAAGTGTCCTCAAAGTCCTCGAAGTTATCTACTAATATAGTAATGTCCTTGAAGTGTCCTTCAAGTCTTCAAAGTCTTAGAAGTCTTCGACCTATCTAGTGTGAAGTCACCACACAACTAACACCCAGTACCCTGACCTGAGGGCATGGAGGAATCAGGACGATGAGCTTGAGCAGACCATACAGAAAAGTAACTTACTAGAAGGTCTTACAGTAGTCGCTGCTTTCTTTTGGTAGCGCAAGTGGCATGAGCCACAGACAAAGTGGCCTGATTTGGTGGAATCAATAGTAGCAATATAGAAGCAAGGGTCGCCCTTCAGGATCTTTGCTGCACAGGCTGGCCGCTCGCACATGTGGTCTTCCTTGGCATATGCATCCTTGGTGAATTGTGATACCAGTTCCATTACAGAGGAGACGGAAAGAATGAGGAGACAAGGTACTTAGTAGGTACATGAGTGTCTTTCAGCTTAAATATCTTTTAAACTCACTTAAACTCACTTGACCAGTTCCACAGCACAGTCTCCTTATCTCTAAATGCCTGATTGATGTATTGACGAAGGTAATCTGCAGGCACACAAATCCCCTCGGTGACAATTTTCCTATCATCTCACATGCGTGAACAAGAGGCTATCAGAATGCTGAAGAGTTTTTGAGGTGCACCAGTCATATGCCATGCGAGGAACAGCGCAAGGAGAAGCTTCTCATGTTCTTGAGTGACCTCAGTGAGTTTTTCCCTATTGTCTCACATGCGTGAACAAGGTCTCATCTTTGAGGCTATTGGAATGCTGAAAAGTCTGTGTGATGCACCAGTCATATGCCATCTGACTTTGCGAGATGGACTTGAGGCTATTGGAATGCTGCAAGCCACAATGAACAGACCAGAGCCAACTCGGATGCCATGTGTGAGATTCCTCATGCTTGCTCTTGCCCCTCCAAGTTGCACACTTGCCGTTTCATTGACTCAGACTGTTATCTTGCAGGGTCTAACTACCTGCGCACCTTGCAGCAGCCATATAACTCCTTCATAAGGGTAGGTGGGGATATCCTTGTCCTCTTGAATTCCCCACACTTACTATACTGTGATTTCAAATTGCTGCGCTTCACACCAATGCCAAATCAGAACAAGTCACTGCGTGAGTTTTCATGATTTTGATTACCTTGGTCCTTGAGCAATGAACTGTGATACAGCACCATTGGAGGAAATCACACCTCATGTTCTACACTTCTTGAAGGCCCACCTCACTGACAAGGTAATAGTAGAGGAACTGTGGAAAGTCATTGATACTGACTGCTATGGGATTGGGTAAGTGGTAACTGCATATCTTTTTAACCGCTGTGCTTATTTGCTTCCAGAATCACAAAGTTGAAGGAAATTTGATCTGATATGGGGCTTAAATGTGCACGGCAACAAGGTCACTTGGTTGAGACAATTCATGATGCCATGCTTGACCTTCGATGAATATACCCGAATTCAGGATCACGAGAAATGATCAGCTTGTTGTTTCATGAAAGGGGGATGGCTGTCTCCAGGTAAGCTGTCGCACTGAATTTGTCATGATAGTTGATACTATCAATGTATTACAGACATGTCATCAAGTCATACTTTGCTATTTACGAATCTGACCTAGTTCACCAGCGCAAAGCAGGATGGCTTTGCTGAAAGCATTTCTGGGCTGCCAGCATCAATGATTTATTTGCTGTGGACCAACATGACAAGTGGCTCCGGTTTGGCCTTGCCCTGCATACCAGAATTGAACCATTTTCGGGCTGCATCATGTGGATGCGTGTCTGGCACTCCAACAGAAACCCCCAGCTTATCCTGTCTTATTACCTTGATACCCTCATGGAGCTCAGTCGTACTAAACACACAGGCAAATCAATGTTATTGACATATGTTCTTAGATATGCCTCTTGTAACTCAAAGTGATCTCGGCACCGAGAACTTTGGGATTGCCAATGGACACACTCTGCTATGTCAGTGGCATGATCCTGCACTCCAAGGTATGCTCCAGCACTGCTGGATGCGCACCAAGAAGAATGTGATGCCAGAAATAATGTGGTCTCAGCTTCAGCATCGTTTCACACCCAATTTCGAGAATCTTTTGGACACTGGTGTGCACAATGGCTGGTATAATGCTGGTAATACCCTGCAAATGTGAGTGATCATATCTTCGGTGGTATCTACACTTAATCAAAAAATTCCTTGAATAGTATGATTTTCCACTGGATTTTTATCCCATGGTTGCAAACAGAGTTGAATGCATACAAGGATCATGTTAATAACACCGCAAAACGGCACGATCATAACAAGGTGTTACCACATGGAATTCCAGAGCTGATATATAATTCACCTGAAGACTTTGGAGTGCTTGATTTCAAGGTATGTCTTAGTCTGGTTTAGCATTGTTAACATAGCACTAATTCATGTGCTATGTGTAGATCAGCATTAAGCCAGGCGCTATTAATTGTATTCGTAATGCCTATATCAACCCTTCGCACACAATATTTGACCTTGTGCTGCCAACTCTCAGTGATCACCTTGCTTCTTGCTACGACCACTTGAGGTGTCCCATCATCACCCGCGACTCCATCTGGGGAGTATACTTGGACATGCTCAATGTCATCCAGCTCAGCGACGATTTACCTGCTGAAATCATGCCTACAGATGATTATAAATTACCTTTGTTCACGGATCATGAAGACTTACATTTCCAGGAAGATGATAGCAGTTTTTATTATATGGGAGGGGTCCGTGGTGGGCACGGTATAGGTTAGGTTCTTCACATTGATTTTTACATGTAGGGTCATGCTAATTCATTACAGATGCATCTCATCACAGGCAGCTGGATGCTTTACTGGCTGATGATGAACCTGACATTCAACTTGAACATGCTGATATGGTCCTCCAGGAGGATTTCAATGGACTGGTTGTCTGGGAGTTCACAGATGACGAAGGGGATGATAGTTTAGACGAGTGGTGATTTGTCATGAACTAGTTGATTGATAGCTGGACAGCCACACTCTGTTAATTACCTGTACTAGCTCACTGGTGCTCGCAACAAAATCCGCATACTGAGAAGTCTTGAGAAAAAATAATAAAAGCAACATCAGCGGTGTACGGAGTCCACAACTTGTGACTACCGTTTATGGGCCATGTCACAGGTGGTAACAGAGCGCGGCTGTTAGGCTTTCCATAAGTGTGGGAATTGTAACGAAATCAATAGTTTGCTGAAGTAGTATGCACTCGTTTTCATCTAGGTTAGTATTGGTCCGCTACACTACGAGTACGCGACTGAGTATACACTCGATTTTCTAGTTCATTTTCCCGCGTGTCGCTGCAACGAACAAAACTAAATACATCACGTGACGTCGGTGGTTGTTTGAATGAGGCCTATCTTACTATGGACATGTTCATGAAAATGAAGTTCCATGATAGTAACTGAAAAAACTAAGTAGAGTCGAGTAAAACGATACAATGTTGTGAATATATGGAGGAAAGTTTTTCCTGATGAAGGAAAGGGACAAAATCATATGATTCTCAATAGATTGTAACGGTCAACAGCGTAACAATACCATCTTGAGCGATTCCTGACAGTGGTCCTGATGTCAGACAAGCAACTGCTGAATTGATCAAGCTCACCATGATTAATACCATCAGCGCCAGGTTCGAGGAGACCAGTGATGTTCTGAGAGGTAGTGTAGTATTTGATCCCATGATACCTGGTTTCACCGACTGCTGCTGACACCAGCTGGTTACTAAAATTGAATTAGTGACCCATTTGTTACGATCACGGAGTTACTTACCGGCCAATATTATACCCATCTGGCACTACATCGTGATTCTCTGTGACAGGCTAAGGTGGCGTTCAGAAGTGTAACAAAATCCTGCCTAATCACGCACTTCCTCTCGAGACACGCTGACACGTAAATTAAGTCACTAGTAATATAATTTAAGGATACTCACGCTAGGAAGAGAGCGCCGCTGTCCGCCGCAGTGCCGTTCTGTACAAAAATGCTGAACGAATATTATTGCCACGCTAGATCAATCAGGCTAGTCAATAAATTTACCGAAAATGATTTCCCCCGATAATGCTCTCAAGACACGTTCCTATTCCTGCGTTTCCATAGTCCTGGCGAAGCTCGATCGTTTGGTTGACCCATCCGTTTCCATCTCCCAAGTCGGCAGACATATAACCGCCTAAGTGAAGGCCGAAACATTCTTCAGAACTATCACGAGCAAATAAGTGAGACGCAGTTCGCAATTCTTTCTATGCTCACAATCCAATAGCACGGGCAAAATTGATAGCTCCGTTAAGTGTGAGGACAGCGGGAGAGCTAAGACCAGAGATGATGACCTAAATTTTCGGGGTCGGTCAGGCTATCCATTAGTAGGCGAGGGCGTAACGGTGATAAAAGAAAAGTACATTCATAGGTTCACCGTATCCATCGCCAGCATTGATGAGCATCGAACCCCCTGCGTCAATCGGGTTATAATAAGCAACATCACCTCGCTTGACCATCGTAGTAGGTGACGACATTGGATTGGATATTATTGCATATGGCATCACACATCCAAGTAAAGCGTTCATAAGATACATCTTGTTGAAGAATGATGAAGAGTGTCGATTCTTATGTGTGGATCAAGAGGAAGAAGATGTGTCTTAGCATGATATACCTCGTAGATTTTATACGCACTAGCTCGAAAGTAAGAATGCCACGCGCGCAACAGACATGCAGCGGGTTCCGAATCTGCAAAACGCAGCCATGGTACTGTCGGAACCCTATAAGAAAAGTTTCATTGATGATTTGTGCACACACGTGCACTTATTTCAATAGATCCAAAATAAGGAAGGATACTTATCACATAATCATGCACAGACTCTCGGCGACTGAGGTTTGACCGGCAAACAGATGGGCAGCAACCTTGATGCGGCCAAGTGGCCCAAGAAGCTTGTACTAATTAGCCCCCAGTGGATGGACTGAAGTCCACGCACTTGTGCTGAAGAAGATTTTCAAACTTTGCTCGGAGCTTGTGTCGAGTATTTGATGGGATGTAGAATCCGCGAATGAAGATCTCCGAGTCTCCAATGAGCAATCATGAGATGGTGCATCCGTAGTGCAAGACGTCGAACTTTGCATGAAAAACTTGAGTATTCGACATGTTGCCAATTCAACATCAGTTGAAGCAAACTCGAAGATCCTTGATAAGAAAACACCACTGAGGTAAGCTTAAGAAGAGACTCAGTGAATACTAACAAAGCATTCTGCGAGTGGAAAGCTCACAGACAAGGACTTTCAAGAAGCAACCCACTTCAAGCAATGAACGTTTGAAGCTTGTTTTCGGAACGTTTGAATTTCTCCCATGGCAATCTCGGGCTTCTCATCAACTACAGATTCCATATATGGAAATGTGTTTTCGTTGTCCTCGAAGGGTTAGATCTGAGACCGAGCTATTGAGACAAGATCGTATGCACCATTGTATGGTCCATTGGCGCTCAGATGCCAGGTGCTTGTTCAAGGCCACAAAGTCCGGACTTCGCGTCACCTCCACCATTCAGCTCCTGAATGATTTGCAAGGGACCTCGAGCTCCATACTCATCGTCCCCCCCAACGGTAGCGACTTCAGATTGATACACCCTTATGACATAAAATTTCATGTAAAACGATTACAGAGACATTGACCAAGTCCGGAACATTTGCTGTTTAATTTTCAAACCACCTTGACCTAAAAAGTAGCGTGACAGCAAGTGTCACATCCAGAAGTAAGTTCAGATTTCGGTGAAGGTTGGATCGTTCTTTGCACAAAACTACCTACAAACGGTTTACCACTCAGTCAGATCGCACACAGTGTCGGTTAATTTAAAATCATCGTCATTTTTCAGTTTTATCACCGTCTCTGGAGCTCATACGGAATATTGTGAATATTGTAGGCCCTCGTAACTTTCACACCTCTTGGGTTTATTGTACGTATGTTCCTTCCTTGTCCCGTCCTTGCCTCATCCAATCATTTTTAGTCACAACTCCACCAACCTTCGGCATCTCTTGCTTCCTAAGATACAATTTTTTGGGTCTAGAATTTTGCTCCATATTTTTTGGGGCTCGTGGCATCCCCACACAGCATGTCTGAATCACCCGATGGAACAGATTCTATTGCAGATTTGCACGATGATGGACAACTGACAATCCGGATTCCTAATCCTAAAATGTTCATGGCTCGTCAGTCGCAATGGAAAGGACGCAGAGGGAAGCCACGGTGTGATCGCTGCCGGGTTAACAACTTGAAGGTGTGTCCCAGCTTGCCGTTGACCTTGCCAAAATTGCTAACTGTCGGGCAGTGTGACAGGGTTCTTCCAACTTGCAATCATTGCTCATATGCGAACGGGAGGGACTGCGAATATACACCTTTGCCAACACCCGCTCACCGAGGAATCCCGCGGTGTGATCGTTGTCGTCTCAGAAATATGAAAGTATGTTCATGCTTTGATAAATTAAGTTTCTGCATCTTATTTATCCTTCGGAACAAGTGTGACCGTAACTTGCCGGTTTGCAACCATTGTGCAGAAGAAGAGAGTGCCACCGAGTGCAACTATACTCCTAAGAAGAGGCATAAAGTTCCATCCGATCATGGTATGATGCGGGACAAGAAGATGGCTTCCTACGGCGCCAAGACGGCATCTTTCCTCGTCTCTGATATGCCATCGCCAGAGGAACACACCGCCTTCGCAAACAATGATTCCAATGAATCTAGAGTTAGCCATAGTTTTTATGGACAAAATGTGGCGTCGTCATCACGGAGTTGTGGAGCATCAGATTCATCCGTTAGGGGCGGCTCCCAGGAGGGTGAACCTTCACTCCACTCCCATTTTGGTCGATTCACTCCTGACTACCATGGCCAAGGATGGCTCTCCACCTCCAGTTCAGGGCCTCAAAATGATGTCCCACGCCCCCAGCCTGATAACTCAATCTCGTTTATTTCACATTCCTTTCCTTCTGACCAAGGAACAGTTGTCGCAAAGTCCCTCGTTGAATTATGGGTACATCCGTCGTTTGCGCCTTTGCCTGACGCAGTTTCCCAGCGGATCGGTAGCGTCAATTCTGCAGAGATGCCGAGTCGAGAGTCCTTTGAGGATAAATTTGCACAGTTCCTCCACAATTTGTCGCAGGACCTTCGTGAAACTGCTGCTTTTACACCAAATATTTACGCCGTCACGTCGCATGCTTTGTCAAAAGGCAACATGGAAGGCCTTTCGGATCGGCTGCGCATGTGGCTAACAATTCATCATGTACGGCTGGGATCTGAGAAATATCACCTTCTCTTGATACCACGGGACTCTTTTTTTCATCTTGAGGCGGCAGAAGAAGAGGAACTGAGGAAAGATTATATTGGATACATAGACAACCACGGAAAGACTTCAACAGTCGATGCTGTTGATCACGATTTCGGTGGTTTTGAGTGGACGAGAGCTTTTGAACGCATTCCCGTACAAAACCAGATCTACGATATCCTTGTCTACGCTCACCGAGCCCATGGCTCATCTTCTTCGATGCTCTTTGAGACAAGGCGTATGGGAATGGTATGTTTTTTTTTTTTTTTTGACTATTAATTTATCCAATATTCTATAGGCTACTATAACTTGGCCGATGGTCGAAATGTTCATTCGTCTGTGTCCCTTATGCAAACTGCGGAGCAAGTCGGTTCACAGTGTGAAACTCGAGCCTGCTTACCCCACATATGACACGGATCGGATTAGCCACTGATTGTCATTAATATGGATACAAGATGATGTCTAAGATTGACATTCATGCATGTATCACGATATTTGGGAAGTATATCTTAAGGAAACTGCACAGCACTTGTCTAGCAAGCATGGCATAGTGGATCGTATTTTTGGAAATTTAAACCGTGGATAATGCATGATTAAAAACCTGCCGTAGGCCTAGAATAAATACGTACGTACCGTAACATACTGCCGGGGTTTACTATCCCGAACATATCACTACTGGAATCGCTGCACTAGAATTGTGACATCGTCCATCCATTTATCTTCCATTTCCAAGGTGAGATTTCTGGAAACAAGCTCTGTGTTATCTCCGCCAACAGCATCTCGCAGGAGCCTGAGCGCTAGATTGCTTTGCATTTCCATGTCTGTGGTGGAGTGCATGTGGTGTCCAACCAAACCCACCCAATGGTCTGCCATTTCCTGGTCTGATAATTGGATATCATTATTGTCATACAAGTCCTGCAGGCCATCAGATGACAGAATGAGGAGTAGTTCGTGTTGAGAGATATCGAGGGAGTGGTGATAGACCTCAGGGAGTTCGGATATATATGGAGGAGTAAGAATGCGACTGGCATACTGTGCTACCTGACGTGGCGATAACCAGTCTTGCAAGTGCGGCGCAAAGGCGCGGCGAGTGTAGACTGAAGGAACCTTGAGCCATGTGTCTCCCAACGCTAGCACAGGGTCTCAGGATAAGGATATGCCATATGAAATATTTCAATTAAAGAAATACCTCGAGTCGGAGCCAGATATCCGAGTACTCTGTTGTCGCACACACAGGCTTGCTCTAATGGATGCTCTTGTTGTATGCGCTGACTTTCTGAGCGATTGTTACAATTATGTACAGAATTGACGATCGTTGCGGACCATTTCCCAGACAAGGATCTACTGCCAAGAACTGTGATAATGTCAGGGAGGAGATATGGCATGATAAGGGCTACACTTTACCTGCAATGGAATCTCCCAGATTGAGGATCCATATATTTTTCTTTAGTGGGTCAGATAAAGCCAAAAGTACCGTCGAGCCTTGAGTGCAGAGTGTCGATATAGCATTCCATTCGGAATAATGATGTGAGATGTGTTGGTCGACTTGGGTGTCGCTCATTTGTGTAAGGTGGTCGTGAGGCAAGAAGTCCAAAAGCTCAGAAAGAATAGCCTGGTCTAGATGCCTGACTGCGCTACACAGAACCTCCGAGACAAATTCCGGCTTTAGGGATGTGATAGGCACGCGCTGAAGAAGAGCTTGCAGTGAGGTCCTGACTATCGAGGGAAGCCGCTCGTGGACATAATTTACGGTATCATGGCCGCAATGACCTACAAAAATCTGGCCGTTAGTTCTGCAAGGGAATACGTATGACGTTCGTAAAGAATTAAGAGCACCATCATAGATTGCCGTGAATTGCCAAACTCCGCCAGGGAGCTCCCACTCCTCGATGCTGTACCGGTCTTGATTGAGATCAGCGTAAGCCGCGCATGGCTGAAAAGTGACGCTGTCCACAAATGTTGATGAGGTCGCATTGGACATGCGATGCAGCTCAACATTAAGTGCAGCCTCTGCCAGCATGTGATAAGTCCATCGTTTCTTGCCCCCCCGTCCGAGATCTGTCGTATAGAAATCCTTGACTTCCTCAAGAGCCCGGAGATTTTCTGTGGATGTGGCAGCTTGAAGATTGACTATATCATAAACCATCGTTGGTGTGAACTTGAAGTTCTGCCGCTTAAGCAGGAGCGGGAATTTTGGGCATTGAAGCTGGAAATTTTTGTATGAATTTATACGCAGATTGATGCTTCTGATACTCCTGAGGTTGGGGCATCAGGCATGTGGCAATGGATTCAGCCCCGAAGACAGTTGGTCACGAGAATATCTCAATGTCCTCCTCGGTAGTCAATATTAGGAACTCAACGGCAGACAATCCAGAACTGGGAAACCTAAGAGGCAATAGGCCTCGGCCCTCCAACTTCAGCACACGATGGCGGCTAGCGCGGTATTAATACTCATCTACTGCGAATAGCCAGATTAGTCGAAGATCCATAGACGCCATTGGCCTAGGGCTATGCCAGTTCACCCTCTCTAGCATAAAGCGTCATTTGGAGGCTGAAAACTGATTGCGAACCCCCAGTGAAATATGGGATGCTTGTCGTACACTCGGATGGAAATGAAATTTCTCATGCCACGAACAGCCTCCCAAACTGCCCTCGGGTTCTGGCGATTAAAATGTAAGCAGCCAAGAACTTTGTTCTGACACTTACATACTCAGGTAGTGTGCAAGCGGAACGCTCAGCGCCCTGCGACCGTGTTTTGTTCTCCAAATCTATCCTGGATCTCCCATGGGTATGAACAATATCCCATGACGATGCTTCGGTTTATGGACATTGCCGATAACCAAATGCGCATTAGGAGTCAGATCTATCAAACACCAGGAACCTCAAAGCTTATGCCCTGAATACGCCCTGACCTTGTGAATCGAAGATTTGCCTAGAATTGTGCACCTGACAGTTTATAACAATCCAGGTGATGATGATCAACACCATATAATGTGTACAAGATGGACGAACAGTAATCCGAAATCTGGGTCGTATAAGCGGAAACGAAGAAGGTAGCAAAAAGTAGATTGACAGGAAAGTACGAGCGCATCTAGATAAGAAAGACAACTTCAGCGTACAACCTAACACCACCGAAGTGATATCTTCATCGAAACTCGAAACTTGCAAACGCAAGATTGTAACCACCAAATTGATAATTGATCTTGTCGGTTCTCTTGTACAACATACGATCATTTTGTCCACTCCCATCACCCGATACCGAATTACCAGAGGAAGATGACACAGAGCGCTGGGCTGACAGAGCAGACTTGAAAGTCCGCTGAGCGGCCTCAACAGCAGTCTCGCCCTCGTCCTCCTCGGCATTGTTGTTGGCGTTGGATATGAAAAGGGTGAGGCTGAGTCTGCCCGGCTGAAAGATATCGACGACACGTCTGATCAGCGTATGTAGATCGGGGATATCTTTGGCCGAAGAAGACGGAGAAGTGGACAGTGGCACGTTGCACTCGAAGCTGGCATATGACCAGCCTTCTTCAGGGGTCACATGGATTGTGTAGTAGCCCTCTCCACTGCAGCCATCCTCAATTCCGTCGCCCCATTTCAGGAGAGCGTTCGAGGAGTAACCACAAGGGTCGAACGCGTAAGCATCCAATGTAGTTAGATGAGGCGGGAAAAGATCTGAAATCCCGATGGTAGAGGACAAAGTCCTCCCAATGATCGACGGAGACTCCGATGGTGCATCTTGTACTGGAGGAGCCAAGAAGAAGGACTCGCGAGCCTTGTGAGACAAGTTACTCATGAGGATCTCAATTGTGTAATCCTCAGTGAATGGTGTGTCGATTTCAACATTTTGAGTCTGGTTTGTCTCATTCTCTTCCCCATTCTCGGACTGAAGAGGCAGGGACGAAAAGGAATTGGGAGAACTTGGAGCGGTTTCCCCATTCGCGCCAGATTGTCCGGGCGTCGTTAAGTAAAGCAGCCAATGGTCTCCATTGACTTTGCCTACAGTGTAAGCAGCTCCATTTGGAAATATAGCGTCAAGGAATGACACTTCGTCCTTCCACTCTCGATGCGGACCGAGTTGACGCTCAGGAAACATGAAGGATTTACGTGAGTAGAAGCACCGATAAACCGATGGAAGTGAGGCAAATTTATGCGCGATCTCGAGGATGCGCGGAAGGCCGAGGAGGTTTAGTGTTGTGCCGCATGTCTTCAAAATAATGCGATGTGGGAACACAAACAGAGATGATTCGCTAAATTGAAGAAAATGAGCGATAACGAACTCCAACTGTGAAAAAGTATCAAATTAAGGGTGGTGGCAGCCATACAAAAAAAAACCAAAAAAAAAAGTAGGCGATGACCAATTCACATACCTCAAAAGATAAGCATCAGTTTCTTCGCCCTCAATAACACTGAGGACCTTGCATTTGACGATGTCAAGCATGTCCTCCCAGACTTGCTTTGGGACATTCCTCAGGCCTATACGGCCATTTTTTGGTGCATGTGCATCTGGCACACGAGCAGCGGAAGGGGCGAACCAGATTTCCAGTAATTTCTCTGGGCCTTCAAAAGGCGTCGATGTGTATGGGAGGTAGTAGTCACCAACGGCCATCGATGTCAGGAAGGGAGAAGAAACGGTTGCAGGATCTTGGGTGCTTTAAGCTATCGAGTTGCATCAGGAGTGGTTTGGGAACAAGTAAGCTGAAGAAAATCTTTTAAAGCTTTGAAGTCAAGCTCAGTATTCGGTGTTCGGCATCTTCCATTGAATCAATCGAGTCAGTTATGATCTTACGTTACGTTTTCTTATCAGCTGATGCCAGCGCGTCACTCGTTGCCAGTACTTTTCAATGGGCAAGACCTCCTGCCAGTGCGAAGATGCCTAGGGAAAAACTCTTCAGACGGATTTTGATACTCAAATTTTAGTGATGGAGGTCAAAGGTAGCTAGCTATACATGATACGCTATTGTTTCGGGAACTCGTCTGCGTATTCGAATTGGATTTTCCCCAAACCCCCTTTCCGCCAGTCGTTTTCAACACTAACTTCTTCATGGGCACCTTAGTTCAAAGAAAGGTTTGCATGCAATATCTCCAATCGACTGGCCGTACAACTATAGCTCTAGTTTGAAATTAAGGTCATGCCAACGAAGGTAATTGCCATGCAAGTAGCATGTGACTATGATGTGAATAAAACGACGACGTTGCAATTTGCCTCTCACCCAAGATCGACTGACTTTAGTCCCTTCTTTGGATCCTATCCCTCATATCGCGTGCTGCTTTCCTGGCGCCCTCACCACCTGCCCACCCTCTTGTACGTAGCCAGCCTACCAATCGAGGAGTGAAAATAGCTGTCAAACCAACTCTGACAGGCAAAAATAGCGTTTTGTGGATGGTGTAAGCCAATACCAAGGTGGCATACAAGCCCTCACGACCTGCATCTCCTCCAGAAATGCCGTTCATTTCATCCCGCCCAGGCTCTGGTGGCTTTGTATGGATGAAGCCAATAGCAGTCTCTTTAATGTAGGCAGCGGCAGACGCGACCTGCTCGGCGCCCAACAGGTTGATTCCAGCAAACGCGATGGTGAAGTCCAGTGTAGAGAGGACGATGTACACTCCAAGGGCATACCATCCATAGGATTTAATGAGGTGTTTCAGCCTTTGAGAGAGGGTAGCGTCTGAAGGTAACTGTGATACTGGATCGCTTTGAGGTGGTGGAGTTGACGTAAGGCGAGCAGGGACGTGATGAAACAGCCTCGGGCTCGACAAACGTGGAGAGCCAGTCAAGGATATTGCAGGTACTGGGCGAGCACTTAACCGCGATGATATTGGAAGTATGGGTGCAGAGACCCGGAAAAGCGGCAAGCGTGGTAGTACACGTCTTAACATAGTTTGGGTATGTGTATGTGCAAGTCCTACAACAAATTCAGTTAATTTTCTGCTGGCGAGTAATTGCATAAGTACTCTGGTAATTTACTTTAAGGGCTGTTCAAAGTTGATTGAGCGAGAGCTGAAGATTCTTGTAAAAGCATGAAACACGCAACATGCGGCACTGTGAACAAACTGATCCGGACTTCCAAGTCCGCAAGTAAATTGCCGAGGCGGCACGAGCAACTCTATCTATAACCACAATGTCGCTGGCAAGAGCAAGCCTGCTTTTGCGCCAAAAGCACGCAGTCGGGAGCGTTTCACTCATTCACCGGAGATTCGCGTCGCACGACAGTCATGCTCATGATGAGCATCATGATGATACCCATTATTCACCCGAAGGTATGCTATTCCGGTCGCATCCATTCCAAAGTCACGACTCATTTGAGCATGCTGATTAGCTGGGTTTTCCACGCCTTTTTGGCGCAACACAGTCCTGCTTTCTGTGCTTGCAGTTGGGTTTTATAAATGGGCACCGTCACCAAATCAAGATGTATATTTGACTCGATGGCTCGCTCAGTACACGACGCCGAGTGAAATTTGGGCAGCTATCAATGAGCAACACTTGCTGCTGTCACAACAAGCTTCCGACAATGCCATTTTGCAGGCCAATGCAAAGAGGCCAAGCATGCACCGCTATAGATGTCCTCAGTGAGTGACTTTGATTGGAATGTCTCATAGGATATGACTGACGTTGTACCGGATTACGATGAAATAGAATTCTGGATACAGGCTCTCCTCACCTACAGCCAGTCGGGCGCGTTGCCGACATGAGTTCAACTGCTGTTAGATCCGGATGATGAACAGTAGAATAGAAGTGGGCACAGCAGTGGTCGGGTTTTAATTGATCCTCTCGATTGATTGCTATGTAAAAATCCCCTGATACATTCTTCCGGTTCGGAGATGGGTGCACAGACTCGGAAATAAGCTGCGAGTTTCTAATTTAACGGTCTGTGTGAGGACTTAGTGAGGCAGTCAAGACAATTATAAAGTCCAGTCAAAAGTGCGGTGCACCGCCTAATAGGTCCATGACATGGTCCACGTGGACGTGTTGGTTTATTAGAACGCGTTTTGACGAAGATTCAAAGCTTAAAACCGTGACCGTTTTTCCTTTCAACATCGTTCGGCTGACACTCAAACTCTGGCTTTCTGTAGAGGACTCTAGGTTCCATCAGGGTTTCATACCCTGGAACGTTACCGTGGAGACTACTGATACATAAAATGCATTCACAGTCATCAAATTCGATACGATGGCCCTCGTCATTCTTCTTCGCAACTCTTCTCCTCAATCCCGCCTTCGCGTCACTCCCGGTAGTCGACTTCAGTCGCATGGGTCAAGTAGGCCTTGCAGGTGCATTTGCGGGTCTCAGTCTATTCAACAATGCTACTGCTGTCACATTTGACCCTTCTGTGTCTTCCTTACTCGCTCGCACCGCCGAAGGCGCCCTAACTACGCTTGGCACTACGAATGCAGGCGGCTTAATTCGATCGGGTTGCGCCATCAATGATATTTTCTACTTGGCCGGATCCTTCTCATCCATTGGCAATACATCCGTGTCTGCCAGCAACATCGCGTCATACATGCCTTCTTCCGGTGTATTTGCTGCGCTCGGCTCAAACGGTCCTAACGGTCCAGTATACTCGCTTTATTGTGACATATCCACCAGCCAGTTATGGGTGGGTGGGAGCTTCACGTCGCCGGGTTCATCCGTAGCTATATGGGACACCAAATCCAATTCTTGGTCCGCCCCCCCATTCAAAGGCTTCACGGGTGATGGCAGAGAAGTCCTTTCCATCACCTCTAACGCCTCAGAGAATAGTCTCTTCTTTGCCGGCTCATTCCTCACTTCATTCGCCGCGAATGCCATTTCACTAAATACCACCAACAATCCCAATGTTCCTTATTCTCCTGGCGCTACGCCGTTTTCTTCGTCACTCGTCCCTGTTCCTCTTCAAGCCGCAGAAATATTGGGACAACCATCGTCATCTGACCCCGAGTTTAGCAACATTTCGAATATACTATGTCCTGCTGGTCCGGATGGACCTGGCAACACGTGGTTGGCTGCGAATGGTAATGGCGCTGTAATTACTATCCGCGACTTCTCGTCTATCAATGCCTATGGTGTTCGCCTTGGTAACACGTTTCAGAGTGGATTTGGAACGACGACTTTCAGGTATGTGATTTTCAATGGATAGATCGGGATGATTGTGACATCTCATTTTGCATCCGTCAGTGTCACATCCATTCCAGACAATACCGTACAGACCTTGTCATATGTCAACCCATCAACTGGACAAAACATGACATGCACAGCTACCTGTCCTTTGTCCACCGACTCATCAATCTTATACCAGGACTTCATTTTCACCGTTCCGGTGACATTGACCGGTATACAGATCACTCTGTCGGGTTGGATTGGTGAAGCTCCTGGTTTGCACATGTTACAGCTACTGTCCTCTGGCGCGTTCGCATCTAGCAACGGGAACCTGCAATCATGTTTTTCACCTAATCCATCCAACATCACTAGTACGGGCCAGTGGAGCATGAAAAATGCTGTTACCAATATCCCCGCAACACTCCAAACCGTCCTAGTCTCCACAGTGGCTGTCGGCATGTCCCCCTCTCAGGCTCCCAGTTTTACTTGGCAGCCCTACGTCTCTGCATCTGGCCAGTATGACATATACCTTGTCATTCCTGGTTGTGCAGACTTCCAGGATTGTCCGCTCCGTACATCTGTTCAAGTCACTGTCTTTCCAGGTGGCGGAAGTCAACCCTGGGTTTCTACTATTTCACAGCAGGTCCAGTCTGACATGACCACACTTGTCTACAGTGGTCCCATTGTCCCCTCATCCACAGACTTCGTGACTACCGTATCCATGACGCTTGCGAATAATCCTGAAGGGACTGGTCAGGATGGGCAGTACGAACTTGTCGCCGGTGATGTTGCGCTGGTATTGACGTCGGCCAATGTGACATCGGCCGCTGGGTCTGGGTCGTCTGGGTCCAATGCGACTTCCCAGCATGGTTTCGGTTTCTTCGAGTGGCCATTGAGCTCTAGTGCGAGCATTGATGCTACTGGAACTATTCCCAACACAAGCGAGACTTCTTTGGACACGATATCCATTGATCTCTATAACGCCCTGGGAGCTACGACTTCTACCACTGCGTCCATCACAGCTGTCGCACAGCATGCCTCTGGCACTGTTTACATCGGTGGCAATTTCCAGCTTATCTCCGGCTCGACAAGTGGTGTCTCAAACATTGTTGCATTCAAGAGTGGCTCGTTCATTTCTCTCCCTAATAATGGTTTAAATGGGCCTGTGACCTCCTTCGTGCTGAGCGGCAACGAGCTCTATGTCGGTGGCTCTTTTACAGACACCAACACAGCTTCTACGCAGGGCAAACTCAATGGTGTTGCTATCTACGACGTCAGCTCTAATTTATGGAAGGCCATGGGTGCAGGGGTCAACGGTGTGGTCAGTAGCCTTGCGCTTGCCAATGGGCAAATCGTGGTTGCAGGCAATTTCACCGAGACTCTTAATTCGTCGGCTGCCGGTGTTCCTGCCGGTGGTTTAGCCACCTGGAATGTTAGTATCGGTTCGTGGGTGAACAGTGGTGGATTTATAGTGGGCAGCATGACGTTCATCGGCAACGGGACTTTGCCTGCTTCGGGTCAGAAGCAAACCCAGTTCGTCGCGGGTAATGTGCGTACTATGGCAGAATACGGTTCCAGCGGCCTTGTGATGTTGTCTAGTGGTGGAAGTACAGGCCCTCTCGTGACACCTATGAGTATCCAGCTTACTAGCAACGTTACGAATTTATCTTCTCCGGCGACTTTAACGAAGCGCCATCCCCACGTCCGTCGCGGACCATCTACATGGATATCTCACCTCAATATTGGAACCTTATTCACTCGCCAGAGCGCAACTTCAAGCGCCCTGCCGCCTTCCCCGCCTGCTCCTGCTCCCGCTGTCCTTGCTGGGACATTCTGGACAAATGTTTCCACTTCCCACCAGGTAGCCATAATTGGAGGCAACTTTTCATTCTCTTCATCCTCTACGACCTCATCCGCCATTGCTATCTATGATCCCGTTACGTCTTCAATATCTGCGCTCGCTGGCGCCCAGATCAATGGCGTTGTTCGCGCCGTCTATGTTGATCAGCAACAACAGCTTTTCATTGGTGGTGAATTCAACCTCACTGGAACCTCGGCGAGTGGATTGGCTCTTTATGATCTATCTACTCAACAGTGGGATACATCATCCATGCAACCATTGCAACCCTCTGCAGGATCTTCGGTCGTTGTTCGTTCGATAACGTCGTCAGTATACAAGTCTGACGCTGTGATTGTCGCCGGTTCATTCGTGCAGGCTGGTTCTGTGTCTTGCCAAGCCATCTGTCTATTCGATACCACCTTGAATCAATGGAGCCTGCTCGGAAGCGGTATTCAAGGAGATATCTCGTCTGTCTCATATGCAGGAGTGAGTTCTGTCCTATGGTCCCGGTTGGTAACATGTTATTGACTGGATTTCGGTAGAATACCCAAGAAATCTTGATTGCTGCTGGATCTATCACATTGGGTGGATTGACGACCAACATCGCACAGTATAATTTTGCGGATTCCACATGGGCTGCCATTGGGAATAGCGCTGAAATTCCAGGACCAGTTACAGCAGTGGCGGTCAACAATGGCAACTATTCCAGCATCTTTGCAGCTGGTCGGTGGGTGGCACGATGTTACTGTTCACAGGCACATTATCTGACTTATTATGGTCTTCAGCACTGCTGACGGTTCCTCACCGTTCATGATGTTCTGGGATGGTGTTTCTTGGAGTAGTGTTGGATCTTCGTTTCAAGGAACCACCAACATTTCCCAGCTTCTCATGGTCCCCCTGCTAGACACGCATTCAGCTAACAGCATCATTGAATCTGACCGGATGTTGATGATCTCTGGTGCGCTGTCCGACTCTTCGTTCGGTTCTGCATCCTCTGTTCTCTTCGATGGTTCTTCATTTATTCCTTATATGGCCGCTGTGACTGCTCAGGGAGCGTTGGGCTCAATTTCCTCACTGTTCTATTCACTCGCAAACTTTAGCTTTGGTCAACAACGTAAGTAACTTCTGTATCTTCTCCAATCATAGCTCATGGGACTCTTGCAGAGTTCCTTGCAACTGGTATTGTCATTCTCATTTCCATTGCCATTGCGGCTGGGGTTGTGTTCCTGTTAGCACTCATCGGCATTCTCTGGACCCTACTGTCTCGTCGCGATGATAGAGTAGCGAAGTATAATGCTAGTGACGATGATGACGACGATAATTCAGTTCAACACCGACCATCGTCATTACTAGAGCACATCAACGCGGCCACACGAACAACGATTCTTGGTGCCCCGAACCCATTACATGTGGTCGGCACTGAGAAGGACGAGGTCACGAGAAAATCCACTACTGCAGAGCTTGACCCGTTTGGACCAGATGGTAGCAACTACTTGCGAGCTGAAACTCCCTCAGACGCAGTTGTGGGTACGATGGCTGCCGAAGAGGAGTTCGCTCGCCCTGCGCACGCTCGCTACTCGTTCGATGGGACGGGTGAGGGTGAACTACCTTTGACGGCTGGGCTCGAGGTAGAAGTGTTAGATGATCGGGACGCTGCGTAAGAGATAATATTCAGCTTTATAGCCCCTCCGCTCATAATCTTTTCTCAGGTGGTGGTATACGCGAAATCCACAAACAGGCCAGGAGGGCGTGGTACCCGCGGCTTATTTGTATTGATTTGTTTCCTTTTCATATCTTGTTTCTTGCTATCGGTCGCACATCATTATACCCTACTTAACCGAGATCGACCTTTCGGTCGCTCTTTCGATTCATTGATATCATAGCATTATTTTCTTATGTTTCCGCCTTCTAGAGACGCTTTCATGGGACAAGATAACAAGAAGTAGTGGTTTGGAAATGCCGAAGGAATATCATGCATAATAGTCTACCATGCACAGTGAATCTCTGCGTCTTCACTGATGATGAGAGTGAGCGACAATAAGGGTTAGTCAAGTACAAAACACACCTGCAGAAGTGGGTCCCGGAAATGCTTCTGGCTGTTGTGTATGAAACCTACTCGTGTCTTGAAATCTTCCCTGCGCTTCTGATCTCTGAACTCTCGTACATGCCTCCCTGCCTCTCTTGCCTCACCACGATTCCTCGCTTTCACAGTCTCCATTCCCTGTCCATGTGCGCCAAACCCACCCTTGCGGGGTACAAGGGCAGCATTCTTGTCTGCGAGCAATCTGCGGACAAGTGCGACCCCAGAGTTGCGGTCTTCATTACTCTGGACGTGCGTGGGCTGCAGGGATTGTGCGTAATAGCGCTTCATCGACCGGTGGCCGATGCGTGCACCTGATGGGAGAACAAGCTCGTACTCAGTATCACCATAAGTGATCTGGTTCTCAGGTATGCTTTCATCAGAATCTGATTCAGAATCAGGAGGCTCTGAAGCGGCCTCATCGACGACCTCTTCTGCATCTCCGCTGTCATCCTCGGCGTCCTCCCACTCCTCGTCCTCCGCGGGTGGCTGTTTAGACTTCTTTTTTCGCGTGTCAGCGGGATATGAAGATGTGAAGTCGTAATAGTCTGACACCTCAAGTCGATCGTCCTCGGAATCGTAGGCGATCTTGCAATGAGCCTTGTCTAGCATGTGTTTCCGCACAGCATCGAGTGTCCGAAGCTCACGTCCCTTGCCGTTGCAATAGATGCAGACATTTCCAACTGCAATCTTCTCACCAAGGTATGTGATGAGACCTGTGAGATCGACAAGATATTCGGCATCAGGGACGAAAAAGGAATGTGAAGAAGACATGTGCGTTAGATTTTCTGAAAGTGTGGAGGAAGTATGCGTGCAAAAGAGGCAGTGTGCTGGAGAAAGACGCGAGCGGGCAGCAGCTATCTTGGCGTCTATGCTGTCGTTTTCATCCTCAGTCGCACTCGCGGGTACACCGAGAGCCGAGTCTTTGGCTATAGGAGTTCTGGAGATGACGGGGAGCGTGGACGACGGTGGGGAATCTGCAGGGGCGCTAGGAACTTCTTCTGGATGGGATGCTGGTTGAATTTGCCGCGAGGCAGTCTTGAGCTCGTTCTCTTTGTGCTTCTTAGAATTTATGTGGGATCTATACGCATTTTCTGTTGTGTATGTTTTCCTGTTCGTGTGTCAGAGAGCTTCGATCGAAACTTTATCGAGACGACGATATCAACGCAGAAGGAAGAGGAAAGAAAGCGATTGTTGTGATCAGAAGGTACGTACCCGCATACCTCACATGTGCTCCCTTTCGGTGAGGACATGATCGCGGTCTCCTGACGGCGCTCGAGCACCTTTTGATTGAATATGGCAACGCTAACTGGTGGAAGAGATGCGACGCGACGCTTCATATTGTACCTATGATGGTCTGAGCGATAGTGTGTCCCTGTGTTCCCATGCATTAATTCATCAAGTCAGGAGGGAGTGCCAGGACATACGCTGTTCCTCCGCGGAAAGAAAGGCTATCGAGCATGACAGGCAAGTGAACAAGGATTGCTCGTTTGCGTGATCCATGGATGCTGCTCAGTGATTGTAACTTTCAACAGTACTAGTGTTATTCCCGTCGAAAATTATATCCGGCGGTGTGACTGAGCATAGATTATCGGTAGCACAGCCGCAGCCGATTACTAAGTCATGCACACCGGGTCGAGTTGTACTTTCTCGAGTTGTCTTTCCCGTTTGCAGGAATGGCCCATTCGTTATCTCCAGAATGCACACCGTTGAAGCACCAGTATGATGCGTGCTTCAATACTTGGTTTGAGGGCTACCTCGAACCAGCTATTGCGAACCCCAATACCAAGGGACACTCACAAGCTCAAAGAATCGAGTACTCAAAGCAAAAGAAGGAAGAGTATGATCGAAAATGTGGAAGTATCTGGGCAGAATATAAAGACTGCGTGCAGGTAAGCAACAGTTCTTTTCTTTACATCACAGGGAATGATTTCCCGAGCAACATTCAATCCAATTCACCAGTTCGTCTGCTTGTTTAATATTTAATCATGGTCCTGATGCTGAGCTCTTCTACATAGAAAGCTGTCACAGAGAAAGGTTTGGGAGGGCTACTTAACCAAGCACGGCAAGAGAACCCGCTTCGCGAACCACCCCCACCAGACGTATCTGGATCATCGTGACGTGCTCTACATGTTATACCCCCGAGTTACATAGTAGAGAAGAATCGAATCTTGGTCATTGTCGAGCAATTATATACTCACATCCACTTGCGTGCCGCATTAAAGAGCAACATTTCAGTTCATGAAATTAACTGATAACCTCGCGCCAAAATTATTTCATTAGTAGTACGGTAGTTGGTAGAGCTGGTTTCTCCTAGACTCCTAGTTGTTGCCAGCAGAACATGTGGTTAGCATTGTACAAAGCAAGGTGGAACCTGATGGACCACAGCTCATAGATATCATAGATGCGCTCTGCGACGTATCAAAGGGTTTGGACAAGCACTGTTGTATCATCCATCCACCGACAGGGTATCTCCACTGTGAGCATCTGCGCGAGACGGTCTGGGTTGTCCACCCCTCCGCCCATCAGCGCATGTTTCAGCAGCACTAGTGCTGCATTCTCCTTGTCCACCTCGGCGCCGACCTTAGCATCCCTCCTGTCCATATGCTCACCAAGCATATGGACACATTGTGTGAGAATCTCCTCCAAGGTAGCCCTCCGTGCAGTCGTATGTTCGTATAAATCTATGAGGCCATCTGAGCACAAGATCAAGAATGATGTGTTAGCTGTGGAGGGCTGGAGAGCGACATGTTTGATGTCGGCACGAGCAGACAGGTAGGGCGGCGATTTGTTATTCGGTAGGAAATGTTCGAGCTTGGAAGAGATGGAAAAGCCGGGGGCGCAGTTCATGAAAACTCGTGTGGTGTAGGGTACCGGAAGCTTGAAGATGTGGTCTCCGATGGCTGAATGGTTGTGTGAATAGGTATATATGTGTTTGTGTAGCTTATAGAAGATGAGAAAACACTCGCCTCGTGTGACGGCGATTGCGCCGAGAACTCTGTGTAACTTGATGCATTCAGATTCGTTTGGGTGTTCTTTGCAAATACGAGCGACCTCAGCGGGATTCTTGCCACTGTGGTTTACACTGAGGATCGTTGCGTCCCATGTACCACTGGAATTTTTAGCTCCAAGCACTGCGGATCACATCAACCTGGCATGTTCAAGCATCGCAGAAAGGGCACGCACCAGCCTGACAATCACCGAGGCTGGCTACCCAGAGGTTGTCTTTCTTTGGGTCCACGAGCGAAATGAGGGCAGTAGTACCACGCATGCAGCGAAGGATAGCGAGATTGTTGGGATTTGTGGGGCCGTTAATGGTGGACTTGATTTGCTCGTCTGTGTAGGCAGCGAGGGTTGCTTCGTCGGGGAAGAGGCATTTGACTCCGTCAGTTAGTGCGTCATCAATGGCTTGGATAGAAGACTGCAGAAGGGTGGAAACGGTAGAGGGTGCAAGGGGTGTGGCGCCTGCATCGGTCAGAGCCTTGACGAGAGCTGTGTGGATTAATAAGGGGAGCTCCTGGACGACGTAGTCTACGGTCTCTTCCCCTCCGTGGCCTATTACAAGTATCAGAGACAGTTATTTCGAATCTAATTAGAGCACACGTGCCGTCAAACACAGCAGAAAACGACCATCCGTCCCAGTCCAGGACGACAAAGCGGTCCTGGGATCGGTTGTCTGGGTCTGGGCTTGGCTGCAAAGAGACACAGCCCGTCATGGTTGTCTTACTGCTGATGACGTGTGCGGAAGCCAGGCGTGCAAGCTCGGATGAGATCAAGGGTTCTGGGATAGCACGATAAGTCCAAGGACCGTATCCGGGGGGGAAGCCAAGAAACTCAAGTGAGGTGGAACGCTCGGGGTAGGATATATAGGACATTCTGAAGAGGGCCGATGGGCGTGAAATGCAGGGGAGTGGTGGTCACGTCGATTAAGATGCTAGCTATAGGGTATGAATACTGTTATCAGCCTTGGATTATGCATGTACTACCATCACTGAGGTCTGATGATCCAGATCAAGTACCAATGTGTGCAGCAGAATCACAATGAGTGATCAAGTTGATAGGACGAAAATACAACTTTAAGCGTCTATATGATACACTCCAAAAAGACATGCGCTTATATACATGAACAACAACAGTGTGAATAAATAGAAGCTGTTCAAGAACAAAAAGTCCAATAACACTTACGCCTTGCCCTACAGACTTATGAGTGAGTGAGGCGCTGACCATGATGAATACGGGACTTACGGATAGTGGCAAGCCAAAGCGTTCTGCACGTTTCCTCCTACGCTCTTGCTCCTCAGGGTCAACATTTTCGACAGGCGCTGCACGCTTTCCTCTAGCTTTCGTGACTGAAACAGTCCCAAAGCGCTCTGCTCGGGCCTTGAGTTTGTCGGGATTCTAAAGGACAGACAGTCATGAAAGAATAGAAGTTGATAGATGATGGTACTCACCTCGCCAGCAGCCTTTTTGGTTTGTTGCTGGGTGGGTTCAACATAAGTTGTACCAAACCGAGCTGCACGAGCTTTGCGCTTATCCTCTTCTGACACCAGGGGTGTAGGTGGAGCTGGGGCGGCTGGTGCAGGTGATGGAAGGGGCTCGAGTAAAAGTCAGAGATGATAGATTAGGTTCATTAAAAAATAGAGCTAACCTGTTCAGATTTCTTTGGAGGAGATGCATCTTCTACTGGAATAGACACTTCGACGGTCCAGTCTACTCTATGAAAGAGGTCAGAGTGCGGACACGTGGGGATGGTGAGACATACTCTTCTGGAGGAGCGAGCTGTGTGAAAATTAGTGTATGAAAGATAAGTTGATAATAAGAAAACGCACGAGGTCATCATGATCAGGTGGTGGTACTGGTTTAGAGTTCTTCGGTGGATGAAGAGTGTGAAAGACATCTATAGCAGAGGGGTTTGCTAGGATTTTATTGATGAGGTCCTGCTTTTTTGCATTTCCTGGAGGTATGGAAGCTTTTGAAAGGATTTCTTTTAGTTCTTGAACCTTTAATGCTTTCCTATAATATATTTTAGTGAGTTGATATGATGAATTTGATGATGAATTTTTACAGTTTCGTGTCCATTGTTGTTTGAAAGAAGAGCGTTACGTAAAGGAACGTGACAGGATGTGGGGGTGTGACCCAGTTGTGGATTAGTTTGTTTGAGGTCAACGCTTGTGCCAGCAGCCAATCAATGGGCGATCCTGTCGATCAGCTGCTCGATTCCGCTTACCATTACGCAGCTAGTCATCCTCCTCATCCCCCATCTCCTTTTTCTCGTCAATCTTCTGATATTTATAATCATCATTTTTATCATCATTCCCGAAACCCTTCCCCAGGTCCTTCTTCTCCCGCTCTCACAACTCATCGCAACTCACCTGCAGATGACTTATTCCTACATCATCACATCGAACAAGACCAATCTTCACATCAAAACACTCCAACAGATGATCACCAAGTAGATGAAGAACCTCTCTATGTAAATGCAAAACAATATTTTCGCATTCTCAAGCGTCGTGTCGCTCGTGCTCGTTTAGACGAAGTACACAGACTATCAAGGCAAAGAAAGGTCGGTTCAATCTAGTCTCATCCAACCAAAAATTTTATCCTATTTTAGCCATATTTACACGAAAGTCGCCACAAACACGCAATGCGTCGTCCCCGTGGTCCCGGTGGCCGCTTCCTCACAGCAGAGGAAATCGCCGCTCAAAAGAATCAGGCCACCAATGCTCGTGACATTGCAGATGACGACGTACTAGACGACCAACCTCTCGTTGACAAGGAGGAGAATAACTCCCCTCCCACCATCGATGACCCAGTCCTACATGCAAACCCCTATGCCCAGCCCCCCTTTTCTGCCCAGCATCACTTGGCAAACACCACTGTGACAGCAAATCCTCCAAAGCTACCCGCCCCTTCATCTGCATCCGTTACCCTCCGTCCCCCATATACCCCCGCTCAAATGCACCATGTCCCCCACCCTCACGCCCACGCTAGGCACCATCACTCTCACCTTAACTACTCAGAAGGTTTATATCCTACTGAAGACGGTCCCTCTAGGGACCGCCATGTTATCTTATGGAACCCGCAATCTCGATGCCCGTTGAATCAGAAGCTTTCACTTTTCTCACTAGTTCTTTGTTCGTGTGCTTTGTTTGCTACATAGATGAGCAGTTCTTGTTTTCGTACAGTTCATGTGTCGTTTTAGGATATTAATAAGTATCAAAGCAAACAAATGTGTGGACGTGTCATTCTACTCTATCTCCATTGCATCATCGTCACACTCGAAACTCGCAGCACCGGTCGTGATAATTTCCTCTACAGGCTCAGTTTGTTCATCAACGTGTCGAGTAGGAGAAAGCGGCCGCAACGGCCGATACAACACCAGAGCGCCCTCCCCCGTACTGGGCGACGAGATGGGAATGATAGGCTGCGCTGTCGTCTGGTGTTTTCGTATGCGTCGAAGCAAAGGCGTCGATATCGAATAGTGAGGAGCCGCCTTGGTCTTGCCAGTGTCTGCACAACGAGTCAGGACATCTGACATAAACTCTTAAATACACTTACATTCTCCCTCGTCTAAACTCTCCATGTTCACCTCGGGCGCCATGGCTTCAACTTCGTGCGGCGGTTCTTCGATAGAGCTGGGGAGGACGATACTAGAAGGTGGAAATATTGTAGATTCGGAAGATGAAGCAGTGGGATTGATAGGCGTAATCACCAGCCCACTCGTTGAGTTGGGGTGGACCGGCGCCGGCGCGAGTGACAGGTGGGCAAACCCATGTTCCAATGTGTTGAACTTGCGTCGTTTGGCGCGGCTTGTGGGGCTTGGTGATGAGCGCTGATAAGGTGATGCACGGCGCTCGTCATCCGCGTTAGACAGTTTACGCTTCAAAGGTGATGGATCAAACCAGGGATGATGGATGGCCTGAGCCCAGGTGGTCATTGTCAGATAGATATGTCTCAAGTCAAAACCAACGTAAATATATAATTTCAGGGTTACCTAAGCCGGAAATACCGCCGCGAAGATTCCAGAATTAATATTACTATCTTGAGACTCCTGAACACAAAATCCCAGACAGCATTCGATATAGCCATCCCCAAGACTTTGGCCCCAGAGTCTACGTAGAACAGCCCTAGAGTCGGCCATTTCCCGGACGTTCTCCCACCTCTGGACCCTCCCGAACCTAACCGTTACTGGACCGAACCGCGGTCCGCTTCAAGGTTCAGAACTGGTTGAACCAGTGGGTTCAAAACCGGACGGCGGCAACTTTGATACTGACCTTGCTTCGCAAGGTAATTTGTCAATCTCATTTTGATTCAAGTCTCGATCGCTTGCAGAAAAATTCTCTTACAAATAATTTAGGCCAACCAAGTGCACCCTCAACAAGCTTTCCTTGATTGCATACATGCATTTTGATTCACGAAAAGTGTTAGATAAGGATAGACACATCTACAATTCCACATGATACAGAGCGACCAACCGGTCAACTTTTCTTCGCCAGGAAAGACGACTTCAGACAATGACGAATTTAAAAATTTTATGTTGCAGCAGTAACAGCCTCTGGCTGCTGATGTTCTCTCGAGGCCTCGCGGTGCTGCTGGAGCAATCGGTCGAGTGCCTCTTTTTGGCCGACTGCGAGCTCTCCAGACTGGATGCCGGAGTGATATATACGCAGCAGAGAGTCAACATCGTCCATGGACTGAGTGCGGACATCAGCAAGCTCCTTGATCTTGGCAGTTGCATCCTTGACCTATTATAATCGCATTAGTGAACTGGGCGAGGTAAAGAGAATATAACAAACCTCGTCGTCGGTGAGATTGAGTCCGAGCTGTTCAACTCTTGACTTGACAGCGTTCCAGCCAGTGAGACGGTGTCTAGGGGGAAATATCAGACTCTATCACGAGTCATGAAGGGCTTGAAAAAGTACGCACCCAATCGACACGTATCGGGTGAGCCCAAAGTCTTCGGGCTTCAAGATTTCATACGTGCTAGGGTTGTTCAAGATTGCCTTGGCATGGATACCAGCCTTGTGCGTAAAAGCACAGTAGCCAGTGATCGGGTTCATAAAAGGCACATTAACTTCTACTGCCTCTGCGACGAGGTTTTCAAGCTCGCGCAGCATGGGGAGATTGTACTTGGCCTTGACATATTCAGGGTTAGCAGCGTATAGGCATGCCACGAGACCGCCGAGAGGTGTGATGCCGACACGCTCACCGATGCCAAGAACCGCTAAAAAGATTTAGTTATGCACCAGTGAGATAAAAACGGATATACGTACAGGTATCGATGTGTGTTGCGCCAGCCTCCAATGCGCAATAAGCGTTAGCGATTGCCATTCCGGTGTCATTGTGCAAGTGAATCTCGATGTCACAACCAACGACGCCGCGGAGGGTACGAACGAGGTCATAAACTTGTCTGGGGTTCGCGCATCCAACAGTGTCAGCTATGCCTACACGGTTGACACCAATCTTGTCCACAGTCTGGTATATGGAAAGCAGATCGACGAGGTCGGAGCGGAAGGAATCTTCTGAGGAGAAGCGGACTTCGATGCCCTTGGACTTAACGAACGTGATGACTTCGATGGCGGTCTTAGTGATGTACGTCATGTCCTTGCCGTGGGAGAATTCACGCAGGAACGAAGATGTTCCAATCACAACATCGACCCCATCGACACCTATGGGTGATGTAAATGAGTGAAAAGATAGGTAGAAGCGCTGTGGAGCTCACCAGTTTCGACAGCGATCCGTGCATCGTCCATGTGGCAACGAATGTGGGTAAGAATCTTGGCCTTGAGACCGAGCTTGCAGATGGCCTCGCAGTCAGCGCGCGACTGCTCAGATGCAGCGGGAGAGGTTAGCTCGATGTACTCGACACCGAATGCGTCAAGAGCCTTGGCGATTGCGATTTTTGTTTTGGTATCGAAGAAGGCGTTGGCAAATTGTTCACCCTCTGCATGACGAGTTGCATTAGGCCAAGGTGCAAGAAAAACTTGCAAGACGTACCTCGAAGAGTACTCTCGATGATGGAAAAATTTGATATGTTGCTTAGAAAGTCTGATGCGCGTGGCGCATAGGGATTCTTGCGCTGTGCTTCACTGGGTTGGATGTTACGTCCATTGACACCGTTCGCGCCGTTGATGCTGTTGGCACCATTGACCTGGATCATCTGGGTCTTGTCAGGCGTCGATAAGGATTCTGCATTTTGATGTGAACAGGAGCACTGAGGCATTTTGTAGTTTTGAAAGGGACGATGTGGATAATCCAAGGAGAGATCGTAAGGGTAATATATACCTAGGACAGTCAGAACGAGTCACATCGATCACAAAATTAGCTAGATTGGTAAAATTAACTTGGCCCCTGGGAATTATATAACAATAAGTAACTGCTGGCGGCCATGGACGACGTTCACTTTTTCTTGGAGGGTGAATGTCCAAGGAGACTGTATCCAACTTTGCTACTACATCATGTTCAGCACCTCTCGCCAGGCAGCTATCGACTACAGGAGTTCATTCCGCAAGCCACCGCAGAATAGGAGCGACTTTCTGCCAGTCAGATCTCAATGTGCACATCGAGTTTCTCTCCTGAAAATCGCGGACCCAACATCTCCAGGCTACGGTTGTGATGATGCTAGCTGAGAAGGGTGTTGACTCCGCGCGACGATAAATATTATAGCGCACCTTTGCGTGCGCATCGGTGCATATAATCATTCTACTCATTTGCAGCGTCCGACTCTCATAGACATACTGGTTCGTGGTCGTTACACGTTTAGCATAGTAGTAAGGCGATATTTGGTTTCATTCCAGCGTTTTTGCAGATGGCCCAATCTCCCGAGTGATTGTGTGGGTAGTATCATGAGAGCAAACATAGAGGACATGAATATAATGCAATAACACCTGTTTAACCACGTTTCTTTGACACACCAACCGTTTTCCCGCGACGGCCTGCACCACGCTTCAAAAAAGTGACAGTAGGCAGCGGGAATGAGAAACTTACCAGTAGTTTTTGTGTGCTGACCGCGCACCCGCAGGCCCCAGAAGTGTCTGAGACCACGGTGGGCCCGAATCTTCTTCAATCGCTCGAGGTCATCACGCAACTTCGAATCGACACCGTTGGAAAGGATCTGCGAGTCCTTGCCGTCTACAATGTCTTTCTGTCTGTTCAGGAACCATGTGGGAATTTTGAATTGAGTGGGATTTTGGATAATTGTGACAATACGCTCAAGCTCGTCAGAGTTCAATTCACCAGCACTATACAACTACATGAGCGAATTGCATACCAGAGTGGAAACACATACCGCTTGTTGAGATCAACATCCGCCTTTTTGCAAACGAGGTTGGAGTAACGACGTCCAACACCTTTGATCTCTGTCAGAGCGTACATAATCTTGCGTTTTCCGTCAACATTAGTGTTGAGTAGACGCAGGATGTGCTGTGTATGGTGTAAATTAAAAGCAGATATAATGCCCAAGGCAAACAGACCTGGAACTGCTGGTGTGCTTCAGGAACAACGAGGGACATGGTAGAATCTGCAAGTAAATATTCCATGAGTCTGTTATCCAGAAGGAAATCCCTCCATCCAGCGGAAATCTGTCTCAAAATCTTCTTATTCTCTCCAGCCAAGCAAGGTGCCTCGTAACGGATTGGTGCGTGGATGAAAATGGGCTTACCTTCGTTCAATCGTTCCTTAGGATAGCGTTGACGCTGGGTATAACAGCGAGCGATGGGCGAGCGGTGAGACAGAATGTCACGGCAAATTCCGCTATCCGCGATCACGTGGCCTGCGGTACAGTCGCGTGTTTGCCATTGTGACCATGAAAGTACTGATTTGAACTTGCTCATCGTTGTATTTTCTAACCGCATCCTTCTTACAACGACCTGATACATGTCGAAAAGAAAGGTGGGAGACATTAAATACCATTCTTTTAACTCTCTCATATTTCCAGCAGTATAACTCTCCAGCGAATTTGAACGCAGAACTTGAAGCTGTCCGCGGGAAGATCTCCCTTGAAGAGACAGAAGAGTCGTGGGACAAGATCGAGCAGGGCATTGTGCAGCTCACCCAATGCTGTAATAACGGCGGATGCGACTTTACCACGGAAATGGTTGCTGGTATACGCTCGCTTTCCAGACCCATCAACCACGCTATGAATTCGGAGCGCAGTAGACTGTCAGGTTCCGCTATCGAACTTGTGAATGCTCTTTTAGCCGGTCTGGGGTCCTTATTTGAGCCTCTCGTCTCACTGTTTATGCCGACTCTCCTCGGGCTTTGTGGCCGGACCAACAAGGTGTTCACAGGCCGAGCAAAGGCCTGCATTCTCGCTGCGATTGAAAATACTCAATTGCCTTCCATTTTGCCGTATCTTGCAGACTCCTTAACTCAAAAGTCGGCTTCTCTGCGTTTAGTAGCTGCAGAGGGTGTCCTCGCTTGCCTGAATTGCTTCAATCCTCCCGATATTGAGAGAGATACGCGTGCCCGACTTATCGAAGACATTATCAAGTTGACTGCAAGGGATGCCAGCGCAGACGTTAGAAGAGTAGGAAAATTAATTTTTGAGGCATATAAAGCCCTTTTGCCCGATCGCGTGGAAAGGTTGGTCTTTAAAGCTTCCACTCACGACATCTGCCTGACAATACATAATTCAGTTTCATTACACCGTTAACCCCTGTCATCAAGAAGTACTTAGATGTGCAAGGGACAGTTGCTTCGCGTTTGGCTTCACAAGCCCTTCCTCGTGGTCCTGTAGCAACAGGAAGAGTGATATCAAGGCCAATTGGGTCCCTTCAGGCTCAGAAGACGAGTTCTCATTCTAGAGCTCCATCCACGCAGTGCGCTACCGCCAGTCGTGTTTTTGGGAAACATGCAGAGAAATCAATACATCCTCCTAGCTCTGAGCCGCCACAAGACGTACCTGCAGCAAGGCTGCGTGCTGTGTCAAGTCAAGTAACATCTAGTGCAAATGTGGGGCCGTCAGTGAGGGAAACGTCTCGCCAAGGTGCACTCCGTCCCCCGTCGGTGGAAACAGGACTGTCTACTACGCAGAGTACAAATCGACGGAATCTGCATCCTCCAGTTCCTACTATGCAGGGCCCGCAGCGAGTAGGCACTGTGCTCATGAAGTCACACGATGAGAAGGCTCGTGTTGGAGGAGGAGCCCGAAGAGTTCTCATTCCTACAACCTCCTTACCAGAAACTGATGACACCACGACCACACGCACGATTTTAAAGACTGGACCTCCTTCAACCAAGCTAACTTCGGTCAACTCACTCACACAGTCCCTCGTTTCGAAACGAGATCAACGGAATGACCCAGTACCCGCAAAGGTTCACTCGATCCCAACTCGCACTGCGTCGTCAGTGGTCACTGCTACCACCAGACCGTCCTCTCGAACGGGACCACGGCTAATAACAGAGCATTCGACGACCAAGGGCACAAGTTATCGGCCTGGCCGGTCGCGGTCACCAACTACGAATGTCGAGCAACAGCAGACTTCCCGCAAGCGAGTTACTGAACCAGGTCGTTCTCGCCAACAGGCAACAGGTCAGAAAAAGCCGGTGTGGGGAGGACGGTCGTCGGATAAAGCGACCAAGCCCATTGTCAAGGGGCTTTTGATACGTCCCAAGCAGGGCGAGTTGAAGAGTTCTGATACTAGTAAACCCGCACCAGAACACGTGCCATTGCCTCCCAGTCCCACTGTATGTCCTACTGCAGTGCCTCTGCCATCGTCCCCACCCTGTAGTCCTCGTCAGTCATCTCAGCTCGAGCCATCAGCGTCAGCAAGGCTATCCGTGCAAGTCACTACCGACGATACGCATGTCATAGGAAGTGTTCTTCCTCCCTCCACCTCCATTGAAGCTACGCCTTCGCGCAACGTAGACTTTCAAGAGTCCCCATCCAAAACACCCATAACAGCTCTCCTTTCATCCATTCAACGCGGATTCTTATTTACACCCTCATCGCCGCTCTCACCTCCCCAAGCTTATGTTGCTGAAATCATTGCTCCTACATACCGCCCAAATAGCCCAACAACTCACAAGGACACAGCCTGTGTCGGTGTCATTTCGGACAGTGCGGCACGACAGGCATTGGAAGTTATGGATGTCAACTAGACTATGACTCCCGTATTTGATTCGAGTATTTGACTTCAAATTAATGACATCCATCTACTAGAGTGCGATGTGGAACTTTGGGAGCATCATCCGTAATATGAAATGGCTGTCTCCTTTGTATTTCGCTCGCCTACGAGAGATGACTGCGAATCTGCAAATCTCCTGGTGCATCAAACTAAATATATGGTCAATCAATTGCCAAAGACCAGAAGTGAAAGACATGCCATCCATTAATGACTCAAGAACCTGCGTCCCTTGAGCAGTCGTCTAGCTAGAATCTTTCTACCAGTTGCAGTCTTTTTCCGAGCAAGAAAGCCGTGCTTTCTTTTGCGCTTTCGCTGCGAAGGTTGATACTCCGTACCACGGGAGGCAAAACGCCTCTGACCGAGTGCGTCACAGAGTGAAGGTAGCAAGAGTGTTTGTGGTACAAGTAGCGCACGATTGATTAGAATAGAGCGGGGCGCAGGAATAATTGGTTTCATCGCAGTGAATGATGGTATAGTGAGCAACGGTCTACGAAGTGCTCCCAGAAGTTGAAGAAACATGTTGAAGGCTGCCAGAGGTGCTAAAATTTAGACTGCTGGGCGATCATGCTCACTTAAGTCATGTGACCATCTAATAAGTAACTCAACAAGTGCTTACAAGTGACTTGGGATCCTTCAGAATGTCAATAACGCCAGGAAAACCCAGAATATCAGGTATTCCGACTCCTGGAAAGTCTAGCGGCATCCCTACTCCAGGCAGATTTCGTTCTTCTTCATCCGCCAATTCCCAACCCGCCTTTGACTCAGATGTGGAGTTCATGTCCCGTGCATTCGCAAACGCGATCAAGGCCAATGATCCTGCACAGCATCGCGCCAGCACTACTTTGAATACTTCCTCTTCGTCATCTTCTCCAAATTCAAGTTTGGTGACATTGCAATCAGGCCGTCGTTCTGTAACTGGTCGTCCTCCCTCGGTTGCTTCAACTTCTGCATTTGCACAGAGTAGAACAAAGACTCCAGGACCACGCGCTCCAAGCAGACAATCGGATGTTTTTACTCGTAGCGTAAGCCGAGCCGGGAAAACATTCGAAGTAGGAGACAGTGTCAGGATAGAGTCTTTGGGGTTCGAGGGCTGCCTAAGGTATATAGGAGAGATCGACGGTAAATCTGGCTTGTGGGCAGGGGTCGAACTTAGTGGAGGTTTTTTAGGCAAAGGAAAGAATGATGGATCTGTCGGGGGGTGAGTTTTCTATCCCCTGTTGACTGCTACCGGTGTCGTGTACAATAACAGCTGCAGGACATCTTGCTGAGAGTATTTTTGCAGGAAACAGTACTTTGTGTGTCCTCCAAATTGCGGTGTATTCGTTGCTACAGCGAAGCTCTCTGCTCCCACAATACCTTCTAGCTACCGGCCTCCCTCAGTCGCCTCATCTTGCGGAGGTCGTATAACACCCTCCTTTTCTGGCAGAGTCACTCCCTCACATTCACTATCTTTTGGAAGTGGACGCATCACCCCGTCCAATCTCTATAGCCGCTCAAATGCTGGCACAACTCCTGCAGCTCGTAAAACAAAGCCGATCCCACAAATAGGCTTGTCACAATCGCCAAGCAGACCTGGATTAGACACTCAAATCACCTCAGGTTCGAGAGCCTCCAAATATATTGGTCTCACAGCCAAACAATTGAAAGCCAATGGCGATAGTACCTCGGAGTATACTCTTCGTTCTCCATCTTCGCCATCACGCGGACCCCCAGTTGTTGATTTGAATATACACCCTTCGGATTCTCCATTTACTACACCAAAGGCTGGTGCTACTCCTCGTGCCCCCAATGTGTACAGCGGCGCACTTACCCCCGGCCTCAAAGGCCGCACGTCTCTAAATACCCCGCGCCCAAGGATACCCAGCGCAATTGCTATGCCACCTCCAGCTTCACCTGCCCGATCAGCATCCTTTACGTCTGCTTATTCGTTAAATGATGGTCCCGACCTCGCACATGAGGACCCAATGTCACGCGTTCAGCTGCGTTCTTCAATGGATCTGACTGCTTCTTCACAGGCTTTGCAAGATAAAATCAACCAACTCCTTTCAGGGCAGTCTATTTCATCACCCAAGACCAGTGGCCCTAGTTCGTCTCGGCCGTCCTCAGTTGCCTCCCTTCGATCTGCTTTTCCCGACAATGATTCACAAAAGGACCATCTGCATTCCCGCCTAGAATCTCTTGAGCGCGAGAATGCTTCTCTTAGTAATGCCGCTGACGCGGCCCGTGCAGACGTCGCGCTAGTCCAAGCACTCGAATCTGAGCGCGATGCAGCTCTCGCCTCTGTTTCCTCTATAGAGAACCAACTCCGCACTCTCGAGCGTAAACTCACCGAACGAGATTTGAAGACTGAATCTCTCGAACGCGCCGCGCTGAAAACGGCGTCTGAACTGGAACGCGTCAAGAACGAGAACGAGGCTCGTGTCGCAGACCTGCAGGCCAAACTTGACACGAGCGAGTCACTCATCAAGAGTCTCAAAGAGGCAATCACGGTGAAAGAAGGCGTCGAGCACGATAGGGATGCACTACTTAAGGCTAAAAACGATGAAATTAGGCTTTTAGAAGATCGATTAGAGAAGGTGTCGGGCGAGTTAGAGGCGGACAGAAAAGAATTAAATGCGCAGATTGATGAACTCCGTCAAGCTGGCCAGGTCGGTTATATTGCATTTGAACTGACACGAACTCAAGCATTATCCTAGGAAACAATTGCGTTATACGAAGAACGTCTCAGCACGGCAGATTCGCGCCGGTATGAGCTTGAGGACCGGGTCGTATTTCTCGAGGACCAAGTCAAGAAAGCCTCAACCCCTCTGTCTCCAAGCGCCGTCCTCCAACGCGCCACCTCCGCTGCTGAAATTGACAATGAGAATCTTCGCGAGCAAGTGCAACACTTGCAACGCAAGCTTGCAATGTTAGAGGACTCTCTGGAAGATGCTCATGCGATATCTGAACGGGAGGAAGCTGCCGTGCGTGAGCGAATCAAACGGTTCAAGGACAAGGAGGATGTGATGCGAATCGAACTCAATGAGGGGCGCAAGACTGTTGAACAGGTTCTCAAAGCCGAGGCTCTCGCTAAAGGTCGTGTCGAAGAGGTCGAGGAAGCCTTGCGAGAAAGTACTCTTGCGCTCGAAAACGCCCAGGCAGAAATCGAAAATCTGAGATCCGATATTGCTGTGAGTCGCTTACTTCGAGCCCCTTCACATCTTAACTCAGTCCATCAGGTTGCTAGACTGGAAATCAACGGTGTTCCCGAGTCACAAAAACTCAAAGCTGATGAGTGCGCGCGCCTCGCAGGGGAGATTCAAGAGCTGCGTGACGAACTCGATCAATTGCGGTCATCTGCAACAGAATTTGCATCGGCCTCCTCAACAGCTGATGTAAGAAGCCACCCTGGTTTCATATATGATCATTGACAATCGTGAGTGTAGGACAATGACAATTGGCAAGCGAAGTACGAGCAAGTGCAAAAGGAGGTGCTTGTTTTGCGCAAGAGTCTCGAGGAGCGTGCTTCGGAGCTCGACACTATGAAGAAGAAACTTAACCGCGACATTCCTGTCAATGGCATCCAGGAGCCTCCTAGGACACCTACCTCATCTAAGCAGCAGGAATCTGCTGAAGTAATGGGTTTCAAGTTGGTTTTGTTCTTAAACTCTTCTTCTGGCACTCATTTTACTCCAGACATATTATTCAAGACTTGCAACAGGAGACTTCAGCAGTGACTCAGCGAAATAAGTTACTGGAATCTGAGAACAGACTCTTGATGTCAGAGACCGATCAACTTCGCCAGGTACGACTCATGTGAAGCAACCGACGAATTATCCTTTACCGTTTACTACAGGAACTGAAATTACTGGAAGAGAACATCGAACAGGGTTTGTTGCGTGAAGAGGCTGCTCTTGAAACGCACAGCACACCGGCATCTGGCGACGAACAGATGGCTAGGTTGGAAGTATGTCAACGCGTAGGGTATTCAGCTTGTCAAACTGACTTGTGCCGCAGAATGAACTGGAACAGTTGCGCAAACGTTTAACTGAAGCTGAGATGAAGACCGCTCGTGTCACACATGACGTACGTGCCAGTCTCTCCTGTTAATACCCTCCTAACCAGTACACAGCTGAATAAAGAGATTGGTGAGCTAGAGGCGCTCGTGGAGTCAAAGGTATGTATCGTTCATGCATGTAGAGCAGAATCTGACTCGAATTATAGATCTATCGCGAAGTAAGCTCCATTCTACAACCTACAAGTACGCTGACGTGCTTATCTAACTTTTTGCAGGATGAACTCGAGCAAGAGCTCGAGCGTCTTAAAGAGAAGTTGTCGCGGAACAACAACAAGAAGTCGTCAAAGAATTGCCTCGAACCAACAGATTTACCTCATCGCAGGCGTTCACCCACGCCAAACATCAATCGAAGTTGTAGCGAAGACGTCTGTGAGATCTGTGAGAGACCGGGGCATGACATCTTCAGTTGCGACCTTTTGCGAGACGAGACGCCCCCTGTCAAGAAGACAAATGGAGATCCGTCAGACTTGTTTTGCGTTGACTGTGAGGGACACGGGCATGTAGCTGCTGATTGTCCACACTCGTTGGATGTCTTTTGAATTTTGTTGAACCTGGATCATCACCTACATTAGTAATCTGTCATTTCACTATGACGCAGTGAAGTGACGTCATACTGCCTCCTGCGTTCCAAAAACATGAGACGTCCTTGTCTTTTAGTTTCTGAACCAACCTTGACTCTTATAATATGTCCTACGCCTCAGTTGCTGCTCACGATGCTCCTCCCTCGTCTGAGCAGGTATGTACTTGTGAAATTTAGAATACTACGGCTCACTATACCACCCTATCAGCCTCGTCCGGATCCTGCACTCCTCACGACCGAAAACTCCTCTGCAAGTAATGTTATCGACGACACTTCTAAATTGAATGTCGTTTCCAGCGATTTTAAAGAGAATCTTGCGGCACATACAAACAATACATATGTTCCAGAAGACATTGATGATGATCTTGTCGACCAAAGCAGGAAAGCGATGACAGGTAAAAGGAATAAACGCTTTCAGGAGGCTCAGGCCGAAGGCATTTATTTGTGGGAGGTCACAAAGTACTATTTGTTTCGTCCAGGTGTTGCTGGTGGTCTCATTGGCCTGGGTACGATCAGGGCTTTTCTGGATCTCTGTATTGGTTGACAATGTCATTTCAAAGTGAATGTCGGCCTTCTGTCTCGCGTGGGCTACACATTCTACACGAAACCTGGCCTTCGTCAGAATTTCACTGCAATCAGCTCCGCAGTGGCAGGAGCACTGCTATTGATTGGAACTGAAGGATACGCAGTACAGAAGTATCGGCAGACCCCTATCGGCCGCCAGGAAGAACGACGCGCGCGCGAGGAGGGCACCCTCATCTACAAGCAGCTTCGAGAGCACGTCTTTCGTCCGGGTGTCTTGAGCGGTTTGGTTGGACTAGGTCAGCGAAAATCTATTTGCCCATTTCTTGAAATGTTCATCTTCCCTTTCGATAGTAAACACAGCGATCCTTGGAGCAGTGGGGTATTACAGCTTTGTGAACTGGCACAAACCTAAGTGGAACCGGGATGTCGTCACCGCTGTTGCATTCGGCCTGCTCACGCTTTGGGGTGGTGAAGGGTGAGCAGGATGGTGCTGCCTTGTGTCTGCTGATGCTAATATTTACTTGCAGATATCTTGCAGAGCGCTATCGTGCAGAACGGCGGAGACAGTAGTGTCAATAGGCTGCATTTGCGGTTTGGAAGAGCACCTGTACAGTATGTCAGCTTCGATGATGAATTCTTTATTGTGCGCCAAGTCTGTTCACCAGTAAACTAGACGAGTCAAAGAGATATACATCACTTTCGCAAGTCATCACTGAGTATGTGTTGAAGAGAAAGGAATGGCACACATATCATTTCATATCGCACAAAAAACACCATTGAAATTTCATGGTATCAAACTCGACGGTAGGCTGGAGTTGGGCTGGAGTATCAGGTAAAAGCAGTACGGAACGTTGAAAGAGACGAGATAGAACACAAGGAAGCCTGCTCTAGAATTACAATATGCATATGATCTTGGTAATCAGACGGCAACATGTTCACATATCTTCTGAGTGAACTTCTGTCTGGCGTTGTCTACAGTCTATGCACTGCATACAGGCCTCTTAAAGTACGTGGTTCTGGCTGGTTAGCATTCGTCTTCGTCTTCGTCCTCGTCGCTTCCTTCCTCTCCCGTGCTGTCTTCAACCTCGTCGTCGCTGTCTTCCGGCTGCGCGGCCCAGTCTGAAATGTCAAGCTTTTCGTTTCGCACTGATTCTGTCAAGAATGATTAGTTGCTGTTGAAGTAGGCGAGCGGGATGGTGGGCTCACCATTATCTTTTACTTCGTACCCTGCCTGGGTAACGCATCTTATCAATTCTGCTTTTGATCCTACAGTAGTACTGTTGCCCAAAATGCATCCGTCCAGCTTCGCCCTGGAGTAGGATATGTCATTGACAGATAATGAGTGGCAAATTACACACCCATCAGAAATCACACAATGATCCAGGAGGACGCATCCCACAATTTTCACCATCTTTCCGATGACACAATGTTTTCCTATGGTAGAATTTTTTATGGTTGACTTCTCTTCGACACGTGTGAAGTCTCCAATGGAGGTGTCAGCTACGAACTGATGTATCTCATTTTCAGTGGTGATCTGCTCAGGCAAGAAGAAGACAAACGTGACGGTTTGCTTCGAGGTACGCTGGTAGATTGTTGACGCGAATAGCGAACCCATCATCCGCTCGATGAATTATAATTCCTATTCGAATGCTCGTAGCATATTTTTCCTGCTTGGTTGATTGGTACTGCAATTTGCATAACCAAGGAAAGAAGTCGTCTCTAAGAGAGTCAAACCGAGTTTTCTGAGCCAACAAGTCGAGCACAGCGCGTTTACAAACGTAAACATGTGAGTCTAACAACATCGAAGACATCTTTGCCTGTGGATATCTAAGGAATTGAGTCATCACACACAACTGCGGAGTGATGCTAATCACCTTGAGAGTAAGGTCATCCGCAGCTCCACTTCATGCCTGTTTTTATGGATTTCATGAGGACTATCTACATACAACAGGGTGCCACTGAGGTGATCCCATACAATCGGAGTTGGTTTTGCTGGAGAACCCCACTCGTCTGGAGTGGTTTGCTTGTCTGATTTGTGCTCATACCAACACGAAGTCACAATGGAACCATCTGACATCGTGTCCGTGCGGAACTTGTTGAGCAGCTTTGATAAGGGTAGGAAAGGTGGCGGTATGAAGTCGCAAGGGATGAGAATGAAGTCTTCCTTGATGCGGTTGGCGAAATGACGAAGTACGGAGCATGTCCCTGCACTTAGTTCCTGCGATTCATCGAAAGTCTGGAGGTCAATATGAACGGAAGAGAAGGATGCAGATGAAGACTGTGAGTGAATATAATGTGATATTGCAGGGCGGTGGGATGAAGGACAGATCAATAGAACATCTGAGACTCGATAAGTCATCGTTGATCCGAACAATTTGAATGAAGTTATCAAGTCCACCTTTGATGCCAGACTGCTCTACCCATGACAAGGGATAGTCGAGCATGGGTTTATTTGAGATCGGAAGCAACGCCTTTGGACAGGGCTCATCACCATGTTCGCCAGTCAAAGGGAGTAGTCTGCAAATTAATGATGATGTAGAGCATCCATAATTTATGAGTGTCAGGACTTACTCATTCCCAAATCCCGCAAGAATGACTGCTACGAATTCACGAGTAACTACCTCAACTGGAGTAACGTCAAAATTCATCATCGAGCGCAGGGGTACGAAACGAAAGTTTCTAACTCGGATCTTATCGATTCTTCATGATCAGAGTCATACATTACCTTCTTCCTACTGTGACATTGTGACAGTCACATACAGTTGCTCTGAGTCACTCTGACAGCCTCATCGATCATCTCCAGCCTCCCTGTCAGCGTTGTGCTTGCCGCAATGGCTGCTCAGCCGACCGTGCATCAGCTATTTAGACGCCTGGAAACTGTAGGCAAGGGTGCCTATGGTTCCGTCCATAAAGGCGTCCATATACCCACTGGAAATATTGTCGCCCTAAAAATCATTAACTTAGACACTGCTGACGACGACGTGGAAGCCATTCAACGCGAAGTAGCTCTATTAACTCAGCTTCGCGATGCCCCCAACGTCACAAAGTATTATGGCTGTTATCTTGACGGCCCGCGCGTTTGGATCGCTATGGAATTCGCTCAGGGAGGAAGTGTCCGTACTCTCATGCAGACTTCTAAAGACCGTGTTCTCGAGGAGCGGTTCATTGTACTCATCACCCGCGAGGTTGTCATTGGGCTCAATTACCTACATAAATCCGCTATCATTCATAGAGACATCAAAGCCGCTAACATCCTCATCACTGCCACCGGTAAAGTTATGATTTGCGACTTCGGTGTCTCCGCACTCTCTGCCACAACTACGAGCAAACGCAACACTCTGATGGGCACCCCGAATTGGATGGCTCCTGAAGTAGCACAGCCAGTTCCAGCGTACGACAGCAAGGCCGATATTTGGAGTTTGGGCATCATGATTTATGAGATGGTAAAGGGTGCACCTCCTCACTCAGATTTGAGGGACGCAATCAAGGTTATGCAATTAATAACCAAGGTACAACCCCCTCAATTGGTCGAAGCGGATGGTAGCAAAGAAATGCGAGAGTTCGTAGCGCATTGTCTTAAAGTCTCTCCAAATGAGGTGAGTCTTTGGATTTTGGTGTCGCCCTGATTGATGGCATAATTAATTCGAGGAACAAGCGATTTTCCGCTGAGGAATTACTCAGAACGAAGTGGATCAAATCTGTGTCCAAGGCAAACGTGTCTACTCTACGGGAGCTGATACTCCGGTACGATGCTTGGATGCAAAATGGAGGTACTCGCAATAGCTTGGCCGAACCGCTCGACTGGGAGAATGAGGAGAAACGAGAGTGAGTGTCATTTGTCCAACACTGCCTACTGACTAAAAGTTATTCCGTAGCTTGCAAGGCGTTGTAGATGAAGAGACAGACCTTTGGGAATTTGACACAATAAGGCGTCGAACGTTCCAAGCTGCATTGAAGGAAGATACATTACCGGATACCTTCCCAGTTGACTCGTCACTATCAGTTCCTACTATCAAACCTTCGGCACGGTTACCGACATCATTGCGTGGCCTTTTTGATGATGACTTTGGGCATCTTGGAGTTGAAACCTTGCGGGCTCCGATACCACCTCCACCACTACGTGATACTCCGAGCCCAACACCTCCAGCACCTTCTTCTTCTTCATCACCATCACGTGATCGTACGCTGTTCAAACGTACATTAGCCATCACAGACAGCACAGATGATGTTCAGATGGTCAAATATAACGATTTCGCATTTCCTCCCAGGACAGTATCTAGAGCGAAATCGAAACTCTCCACCAATGTCCCAAGCTCTATGGATGTGGAAATGAAAGAAGAGAATACGCCTCCAGAGGAGAGGGCTGAAGGTATATATGTTGTAACTGGCATCAGCTGTTGTCTGCTTATTCTCTTCACAAGCCTCTGTTATCGTTGTGGAGACTACTCCGACATCTCCTCTATTGCCACCCATTAGGCCTTTTGCGGTCCGGGAGAGGAGCGGTAGCTCATCAAGCAAAGGCAGTGACGGTGGCAGCTCTGCAGCAAGTTTAATCCTACCAGGACTTAAAGACGCGGTGAAGGTAGCAACGGCAGCATATCATTGAGTTTTTTGCTCATGTCATTCTAGGTGCCTACCATTACGTCGGAGCACCAGTTGGGTCTAACCGATTTGCTCCCGCCTTCGCCTATGGCCCTTGCCCATAATAAAAGCTCTTACGTCCATTCTCCCAGCGGACTTGGATCACCCGCGACGACAAGCGAAAAGAGCTCCATCAGTCTTGGCTCCCTTCCTGCAGCGAATGCTTCCAGCGTTTCCCTTACACTTACACGGAGCCATTCTCCCTCAGGGCTTTCTAACCTATCTCACTCTGGTCCATCAGCACAATTATCAACTGTCGGGCCTCAAGTATTGCCGCTGGATCTCTGTAATATCATGAGTCACGATGCCACGAATGTGCAGCTGGTACGGTCCGTCAATGATTTAACAAAATGGCTGTCTGTAATCGAAGTTGGTTTTGCAATGATGCTCGAACAAGCTGCAGGGGACTCTATAGCAGAAGAGCAGGAAGAAGGTGCTATTGAAAGAGATCCCTTTACGGAAGACGCGGACGCGTGGAAATGGGATTCTGTAACTGATATCGTCCTGGAGTCGAGCTAGTTGTCAAACTTTGACCATCTTGATATCCTAATGGCATTCTAAATAGCCGATAATAGATTGGTATACTTATGGACTGTATGGACTTGTTATGGACATCCTTGGTAACTACGAAATATAATTATACTTGGTGAGATATGTAACAATGACCTCGACTGCTTTGGTTACGTCACATTCGTCTGTCTTGATGTGTATATCAGGTTTCTCGGGAGCTTCGTACGGCGCAGATATGCCAGTGAAGTCTATAATTTTTGTAAGTGCTTTCGTCTGACAGAGATAGATGTGGTGGTGGTGACTTACCCTTGATTGCTCCTGCACGAGCTGCTTTATAAAGTCCTTTCGGATCACGCTGTTCAACTACACTGAGAGGGGCATCGACAAACACTTCGATGAATCCGAGGCCTCCTTTCTCATGAAGTTCGCGAGCTAGTTGTCTATCTGCTCTGTAAGGCGATATAAAAGCTGTGATCGCGATGCAAGCAGAGTCTGCGAATAATTTGGAAACCTTCAAATCAAGGTAAGGACGTGTGACTGCTCATGGTCCTAGACTTCTAATGCAGTACCTCGCCTATGCGCCTGATATTTTCCACTCGGGAATTCTCGTCGAAACCAAGGTCCTTATTGAGCCCGAATCGAACGTTGTCTCCATCGAGCCGATAGGTGAATTTGTGTAAGTGAAGTAGATGTTGCTCAAGAGCACATGCTATCGTTGACTGCGAGGGAATCAGAGCACCAGTGGTGAGATGAGACAGTAACAGACCTTTCCACTAGCACTGAGTCCAGTCAGCCAGATAGTAACGCCTGTCTGTTTTAGCAAGCCAACGCGTTCTTGCGCGTCGACAGACCCTATAAACCTTAGTAATTTCTTTGTGGATAAAGGCCGTTCGAAGAACACACCTGGATGAAAAGTTATGTTTGTTGACATCTCAGTACTAGTGAAGGAGTAAGTAGATTAGTTTCAGTGACTCACTGTGTTATATCCAGCTCTCGGACTCCCGATTCCCTGGCATGTGACTGCATACTTAAAAGACCTGACCCATGTCGCAATATAGCGTTGGTATGACGGCATCACTTCATATGTGTGGGCAGCCGCGCTCGTTACATAGTGTGACCACACCCCAAACTAGGCAGGTGTGATGCCGGGACTCCGTGCACCTCTGTCAGTCTTTTTTTAATAAATGTGCGGGCCCAACGGACAACAAACAAAAGACGCTGTCCTGTCTTCCATAACTGGGACTAAATATAGTCACTAATGTCGTGTGGCGGCAGTGCGTTGTGAGGGTTGTATAGCTGCATCATATTCGCAACAAAAAGTGATACATCATGGCATACCACTCGATCATACTATAAGGTATTGCTGCTAGAATTATTAAACATGACACTAATGATATTACTCTCATCATACTGCTTCACGCCTCCGAGGCGATGCACGTAGAATATCATCCACCCTGTTCGCATCCGAGGTTAAATAACATATCATGGTCCGGAAGATACACTGCGTACCTGATAATCATCTCTGCTGCTTCGCTTGCACTTAGCACGACCTGTCGCTTCAGTTTATAGCTCTCTGTAACACCTAATTGTCTCATCGAGCCAATGGTGCCCTGGTTCATATCTGAGGATCTTATGAGTTCAGCATCCACACCTGAAAAGTACACGATCATACCGAGCCCAGCATCTGACTGTCCCTCGTAATGTGCGGCTCTTAGCCTGGAAACGAGGTCGCTCGAGTCATAGCCAGCATTGTCCGCGAGGATGGTCGGTATTTGCCTCAAAGCACGGCTGAATGCCTCGGCAGCTATCGCCTTCTTGCCCTTGACCTTGCGCGCCGCCTCCTCCACAGCGCAACTCATCGACATCTCGGAACATCCACCGCCCAAGACAACGCGTGTCTCTTTGACTGTTTGCGATAAGACAGAAAGTGCATCATGCAACGAGCGCTCTGCCTCGTCAACCATCTGATTGGTTGAACCACGAAGCACAACAGTGCAGGCTTCGCCCGCAGCAACACCAGAGAATTTTATAAGCTGACATTCCCGATCAGCTCAAATCAGCAAGGAGATCACAATGCGAACCTTATCCTCGCCGATGATGATTTCCTCGATCAAATCGCACCTCCCAAGCTTCACCAGATCTGGTTTGTCGAACGTGCTTGCAATCTCGCCACCAGTGACGAGTGATAGTCTCTCAACACCCTCAAAATCGGCATGCTCGATCACCATGATACCTTTCTCTGCCAAGAGAGACTCAGGGTAATTGTAGATGAGCTGCCGATTGACAAAGCAATTGATACCATGTGTGGCGATCGCGTCGACTTTAGCTTTCATTTTTTCCTATAATGCGTCATTAAAAAGTCAAAAAGACCATGAGAACGTGCGGATACCCGTTCAGCCCGCTCAAGCTCAGCAAGTTTTCCAGTCGAGTCCACTTTTACTCTGGCTCCAAAGATCTTGATCTTATCAGTGTCCATTGCTTTGAGGAATTGAGCTTTAGTCCGAGATTAATGCAAGTTGGACCAACACGTACAGGTGTTGGCAATTAGAATTTTTGCGTTCTCCATCCGCTTAGGGGAGTTCACGGCGATGGTTTTGTCGAGAATAAAACCTGTATGAAATACGTTCGTGAGACAAGTAAAATTGATTGCATATTTCAGCTGACCTTCGTCAAGGTATGAGTCTGTGAGTTTGCCTCCGACCTTTTTGATTATCTGAATGTGTTCCAAATCTGTTGAGCCCTAGAAGATAGTCAGACCTAGTGTCGTATACAGCGTTTACAATATACCTTTAATCGAAGCACAGCATCTACGGCTAGGTTGGCAAAGTAATCTTTTTCTTGTGATAAGACTTTCGATGACAAGGTTGTACGGGCAATGTTGAAAAGATCCTGGTGGAACTGGGCAGCATCGGAGCTATTTGGGAGTACGAATCAAGTCGTCGTGCTCGTAAGAATCATAAAGTGATATAAAAAACGTCAACACATACGCATGATCGACCGCTGCATTCTCCAGTGCCGCAAGCGCAGCAATGCTTGCGACCCGATATCCCTCCACAATCGTCTGAGGATGTATTTTCATTGCAATTAACTTCTCCGCTTCCCTCAGCAGCTCTGCTGCTAGCACACACACGCTCGTTGTTCCGTCACCGACTTCGTCATCTTGGACTTTTGAGATGTTGACGAGGATCTTGGCTGCTGCATTGTCGAGCTGGATAGACTTCAGGATCGTTGCACCGTCATTAGTCACCTGAATCTCTCCTGAAGATGCTGACTGCAGAATCTTGTTCATGCCCTTTGGCCCAAGCGTTGATTTCACGAGGTCGCCGAGAGCGAGGGCGCCGACGAAAGAAGACAGACGGGCATTTTCAGCTTTCTCCTCTGTTGCCTGCATAACAAATACTAGACGTCACACGAATTGCAAAGTATCAAGCTGCCAGAGCCTACCTGCTGACCGAAAATATGCATGGACATGGCTATAGCTACAGTCTTGGAGATTGCGGGACAAGATTAGGCGAATGCGCTCCACAACGAAATATCATGAAATCAAGATTTCTAATTGTGAACAACACCCCTGTTCAGTGTTTACTTTCTACATTCTACATATATTCAAGATGCACCCAGAGATCGTGTATATCCTCGGTACTTACATAGTACTCCAAAGTCCCATGTCAGCTATGTAACGTTGCCGAGCTCCCTGCTACTGCTGTCACGGTATGCTAATTATGTAGATGGAATCACGGACTTTGCTGCATTCCCACACAACCAGATGACGGATTTCTTGATGGCTTCCGTTACCTCTTCTGTGCTCAGAGGCTGATCAACAGGTGGACAATGGAGGAAAATGACTTTAGTGGTCGACTTATCAGCCTTTCCGCTTGCTCGTTTACTCTCGGCTAGTGAGCAGTAATAGATGAAGTCGCAAAGGTAGTGTCCTGCGTCCAGGGACGAATATATTTGCTTCCAAAGCCATGTCAATATTCCTGACAAGATACGTGCAGATCACTCTCACCTCGATGCCCGACTTTTTGAGGTGATGCACAAGCTTCTCGACATCAATGTCTGTGAAAATCTCCTCGGGAAACGGCTCGTATCCCTTTCCAAACCCACGCTTAGGTGGTTCTGTACCATCAACAGGTGGTTCAATGAGGTATTCACTTAAACGTGCTCTTTCCATCCTCTCCATCTCCGAAGGTTCTGATTGTCCGCGATTGGAATTAGAGTTTTCCTCCCGTGTCACGCGTACGACCGGCGCATGACTACCAGTGGCATCCTTCATGTTGTAACCAAACTTATGTCCAACCCTCTCCATTCGCAATGGTCCTCTCCCAGCGACGCCTACGTGAAAGATGAGATCGAATCCATCTGCTGGCAAAATGGTGTCTGGGAGGTCAGGATCTGCAGAAGGAGGAAGAACAGGTGGTCGCGCGTGCAGTCCGGGTACAATGGCAAGAACATCTTCGTATGTTACGGGGACTTGAAGGGTAGATAGATAAATGTCGCGTGTGTCCTGGGTAAAGCTATTTGCTTCGACCGTGGGGTTTTGATCATCAATTATAGTGGTTTCATCAGGTGAATCGACGGTCAAAACGGTGTTGTGAAGCGGCTTGACGGCCAGCCATGATGGGTTGACCGCATAGCGAGAGAACGGCTAGATTTGCTGACAGTCAGGCGCGCGTTTGAAAGGGTGAGAGCAAGTAAGGCTCAAAAGACGACTCACACCAAAACCAGTTACAAGAACATGATAAGGTCGCACTTCTGATGCAGGAATACCATTTACATCGATGGCTGGCATCGTTAGCTCGAGATATGCAAATCAACCAACGAGGATGAGTTGCATAGCCTGTGGTCTAGAGCAGATATTGTAGTGCTTCGCCCTAGAGCTGGGACCCGGGACACTGTTAAACTACGTAAATAGGGATTTTACTATATATGCACTTTTGACAGCTTGAATTCTGAAGGCAATATTTAAACGTAGCACTATACTTCTCAGCGCTGTCTTTTGATTACCGTATTGAAGCTTTTTAAAAAAGCCGATAGATTTAACTTGCCTCTTCTCCGAACGACTATATGCCTTTAGGTGCGCTACTGTATTTGCCATTTCAAGTGCTCACACCGACGAAGGCTTTCCACAGTATCTTGGTTAGTCATTTGATCATTTACCCTAAGCATACTACTGACACTCTATTACAAGTCCAATATGTCTGCAGTCTGTTTTGGCGGAGAACATCAATAAACATCTGGACAGCGGCTGCAGTATTCATGTGGCACCTAAAGGAGAACCCTCATCTCGACTCAACAACATAGCACCCAAGAAGTTGGCACCCATATTCAGCCAGAGCCATGACAAACACACCAGCACTGTGGCTGACGGCCCTTTAGCACCTCCATCGATGACCCAATACACGCCCACTACCTCCAAGAAACGAAAGTTGCAGGTGTCATCGATATCAAGCAAACCCTCAAAGGGCACATCTTCTAACCTTAAGTCTGCCGTGCCTCTTGCGGAAAGGGTTCGCCCACAATGCCTGGATGAATTTTGCGGGCAGAAGCACTTAACTGGCCCCGAGTGTCTTCTGACGAGTATGGTGGACAGTGGTAATATTGGCAGTCTTGTATTATGGGGGCCACCTGGGTGAAGGAATTCTACTATGTTATCATTAAATTCGTTACTGACACACCTCGAGCTGCGGGAAGACCACTTTGGCAAGATTATTGGCACGAAACATGGATTGTAATTTCAGGGAGCTAAGCGCGACTTCTTCTGGTACGAACGATGTTCGCGCAGTGCTCGAAGAAGCCAAAGTAACACTTTCATTAACCGGAAGGTAGGGCAGAACTTCTTTCGCATGTTACTTCATTGTCTTCACTTATGTCAGGAAAACAATATTGTTCTTAGATGAGATACACCGTTTCAGCAAGGCGCAACAGGTACCATTCTTCCAGACACATTCGCGGCTATCTCTGAAGCAAATGAATAGGACGTCTTCCTTCCATATATCGAGAAAGGCCAAATACAGGTATGTAATACCATGAAGACGTCTTGATTGTTAACACAATGGAAGATGATTGGAGCAACAACCGAAAATCCGTCATTCAGGCTGACAGGCGCCTTGCTAAGTCGTTGCAGGTGAGTAAAGATGTGATGTCTTATCTCAAGCACCGACTTTTGCAGAGTGTTAGTACTTGAGCGCTTGACAAACGATGACATCCGAGGTATTATCTCTAGTGCTGTAGAGCGAGTCTTGACATCCGTCCCTCGTGATTGTGAACAACCGGAATCCGAAAGAGCGGCAAGTCCGGCGGTCGGTGCAGAATCTATGACATCGCAAAATCCGCTGTTTCAGTTTCAGCCCTCGCAAGCGCTTATTGGTTGCGGTGGTCCATCTCTGCCGTACACCCAACTCACAGACCGTGTCATCTCTTCCATTGTATCTCTTTCTATGGGAGATGCCCGGACTGCGTTATCTTTACTAGAGCTTGTTCTGGCTTCTAAACCAGATAGAGATGAACATGCCCTTCTCGCATTATTACGCCAAAGTGTCTCTGCTTCTTACGACCGTGTAGGGGAAAACCACTACGACATGATTTCAGCGCTTCACAAGAGCATCCGTGGCAGCCACGGTAGTGCTGCCATGTACTGGTTAGCACGCATGCTGACAGGAGGAGAGGACCCGTTGTATATCGCGAGAAGATTGGTGGTCTGTGCAAGCGAAGATATCGGGTTGGCTGATGCGCGCGCCCTTCCTTTAGTACGTCGACAAATAACACAAGGCAAATCCTAATTGAGCATTTACAGGCAATGGCAGCTCTTCAAGCTTGCCAGGTTATTGGCATGCCCGAGTGCCGAATCAATCTAGCACACTGTGTAGGTTATTTATCAGAGGCGCCGAAATGTACTCGCGCGTATGAGGCATACAATCGGGCAGAGGTAGCAGCAAAGTCAGACCTCACAATGCCTGTACCCATGGCGGTCCGTAATGCTCCGACAACCCTCATGAAGGAGCTTGGCTATGCAGAAGGCTACAATTATAACCCCAATTTTCGGTGCGTCAACATTTTCGGAATGCTCAGTGAAGCGTCGCTTAAATCTTTGTACTCACAGGCATCCCGTGTGCAATGACTACCTCCCGATTGCGTTCCGCGGCGATAGTTTTTTAAAGGAAGTTGGAGACCTCTCGGACAAAGTTTGGGATGAACGGGAGTTATTGCGTTGGGAGCAAGAAGAGAATGGCGGACGGTTATGGGAAGGTCGCTCGTCCGCTCAACATCGTCGTTGAACTCTGCATCGTTTGGCTGTTGTCGATCCCTCCTTTGATGCTTCGCTACTGCATTGCGGGCAACATTGTAATAAAACAACAAGTCTCTCTCAGATAAGCACACTCAAAAGAATAATGTGCCGTTCACACATTTCAGTACAAGTGTCCGAGTCTGCATATCTCCATGTGCTAGGCAGCATATGCGAAGCATAACCTTTTGGGCCATGGTTGAATGGCAGAGACGGCAAGAAAAGGTACAGTACGATGTGAAGGTACGTCGTTGCACTGAAGCACGCGGTTCTGTAACATATTGAACGACAAATGCAGTGTACTCACCTCTATGGGATCCACTGCACATGCGCCCATCCTGAAGTGAGAATGCTTCCATGCGAGTCTTGCACAGAGATAGCATAGTTCCGGCGGCCGGTACATGAGCCGGATCAATATTACGGTACTTTGCGAGTAAGTGGATGCCCACAGGGATCAACGTTATGGTATTCCAAATGCGGTGCTATTTCTGTTAGACATAATTTCAAGGCACCTTCTTATCTCACAAGACACACACTCACGACGCCATGCGTACATACCCGGGTGCCATGAAAATGGTCGTACCGAACAATTGGTCTTCCAATTACGAAAATAGTCGCTTATCTGCCTTTGAGGTAGATACATATAGTTCTGCTGAAACTTCTCGTCCAGTACCCTCTTGTTACCATGAGCCTGACCGCTGCAGGGGCGATCAGCGAGCACACTGTGCCCAGCGAGAAAGCTCTTAGCACTAGTGACAAATCCTTCGATGGCAAAGGCGACGTCGAAACCGCAACAGTTGATGCTGACAGCGAGGAAGGCGTGCTCTCCAATGAACGTGACATTGCTACGCACGTCATCTCGGTGGACGACGACCCTTCTCTGAATCCGTGGACATTCCGTTCCTTCGTCATTGGTCTTGGCCTCTCAGCCTTTGGCGGAGTACTCGGTGAGCTTCTTTGGATTCTTTTTTATCCAGTATGATACTCATTGACATCAATCTGTAGCCGAAATCTATTATTTCAAGCCTGTGCGTAGTAGAGCAAGCATGGCAACTTTATTTGCTCATATCATTGCCGCAGCAAACGGTTCTGGTGTCATTGATGTTCCTGGCAGTTGTATCTTATGTCCTGGGCATCTTCATGGAGACTTTTATTCCTCGCCGCGGATTCCTGCGTTACCTGAACCCCGTATACCAATTTACCCACGTCTATTACTTCATTCTAAATATCTTTCGCAGGGACCATTCAACAAGAAAGAAAATGCTTTCATTGTGATCATGGCAAGTGCCTCTGCGAACTCCGCCTTAGGTACCGAAGTTCTTGCTGTCCAGCGGTCAGTGAGCATTACTCATATGAGTATAATTTACTGATCTTTGTTAAAGATTGTATTACAATATCACGCCCAATCCCGCTGTCTCGGTTTTCCTACTCTTCTCTTCTCAGCTTCTTGGGTACAAGAAATTTCGTTAAAGTTCCAGCGGACGCTGACAAAGTTCTACAGTTATGGAATTGGTGGCATGATGAGAAGTATGTCCACAATTGAATCTGTTATTGAACTCGATGCTCACATACCTCTATCAGGCATCCTGTTGTACCCATCAAAGATGTTATATCCTACTGTGCTACCATTATTGTCCATGTTCGATGCTCTCTACGAGGGTGGGATGGCAGCACGGAAGAAGCTCAGAGTCTTTTACATCGTGTTCGCTGCGTAAGTCCGATTAAGACCCGGTTGCAATGATCAAACATGCTGATCGACTCAGTATCTTTATTTGGGAGCTCTTCCCAGAATGGATCTTTCCACTTCTGACTGGGTTTTCCATCATCTGTCTTGCAGCCCCTAACAATGCTGCTGTCTCGCGAGTGTTTGGTGGCAGCAACGGCAACGAAGGTCTAGGGCTCCTGTCTATCTGCTTTGACTGGCAGGTGAGTGTGAATACGAACTTCGAAAGTGGACCCCGTTCCTGACCGGATCTGCAACAGTATATTTCTGGTGGGGTGAATCCTATGGCTATCCCGCTCAAAGCACAGGTATGACCTCTTCTCAAATCTACTGGCCGAGCACCTTACATATTTTTTGAACAGTTCTCCAATTTCCTGGGCTACATTTTTTGCATGTGGGATCACTTCGCTCTGATTTGAGACCTTGCATTGACTTACGTCTAGGATCGTGTTTGTTGCGGTGTATTACAACAACATCTGGAAGGCTCAGAACTTCCCATTCGTCAGTCTACATTCATATATAACGGCAGAACATTGACGCCAACTCCCCACAGCTTTCTCAACTCTTGTTCTATGAGAACGGAACACAGTACGATCAACTACTTATTCTCAATGCCAACTATGAAGTCGATCCAACACTCCTTGCTGAACAAGGCTTACCTTACTATTCCAGCACTTGGATAGTCTACTTGCTCTCCTCAAATTTGGCAAGTTCACTAAACGTTAGTAAAACTGCTGACTGACAGTTTGAAATCCTAGGGTTTGGCAGCCACGTTTACCCATCTTCTCCTCTGGAACCGGGATGACTTGCGCTCTGCATGGAGTTGGATGACTCCGTCAAGCATCAAACAAATGTGGGAGAATTTTGACTGGAAGTTCTGGAAAGCGGACGGAATGCGGAAGCAAGACGTCGACGATGAAAATATCGATCCTCACTACAGGGAGATGCTGAAGGTCAGGTTTGCATTGCTGTGTATTCAGCTTGTAAACATTAACATATCTGTATTAGTACCCCGATGCTCCCAACAGCTGGTACTTCGTCGTTTTCATCCTGTCCTTCATTGTTTCCCTGGTCGTTATATACAAGTCCAATTCAACTTTGCCATGGTGAGTAGCTGTGATTGGAAATGTAGTCCAAGCTGATGAACAGTGAAGGTGGGGCTTCATTATCTCGCTCATGCTGGCGACGATTTCTATTCTATTCTTTGGTGCACTCGCCGCAATAACAGGATTTGGATTCATCATCCAGCCGTAGGTCCTTGAATTCAATTTCGATCTTCGATGTTTCAATTTGCATTCAGGTTTATCCAGATGGTCGGTGGTTACCTTCACAGAGGGATGCCAGGTGATTGGCTTGCTCGTCGTTAATATGTTTATTGACGAATGCTACAGTGGCAAATATGTATTTTGTTCTATACGGATACAGTATGTATCAACCTTGCATTCCAAGAACAGGTCGGCTTACCCAATATTACAGACACTGTCACCCAAGCCCAACTATTACTCCGCGACCTCAAGATTGCTCAATGTGCGTACGTTCCAAGCCGTAGGGCAATATGTGTTGACTGTAATTTACAGATGCAAAACTGCCACCTCGCGCTGCATTTACCGCCCAGATAATCGGCACGCTGCTTGGTGCCATCCTGAACTTCTGTGCGCACTGGCACCTGTTATATGACTATAAAAACCGACTGACATTGCGCTGTAGTCATGATGAACTCAATTATAGATAACCAAAGTGAAATTTTGTTGTCTGTTCAAGGAACCAACATCTGGTCTGGTCAACAGCCACAGCAATACAACTCTCAGGCAATTGCGTGGGGTGGACTCAGTTACGAGCTCTTTTCCGTAGGCCAAAGATACCAATGGGTCCCTTGGGCGTACCTACTTGGACTTTTCGTACCCGTTCCGTTCTGGGTCCTTCACAGGTACTGGCCAAAGCTTCGTGCGGATTATCTTTATACTCCAGTTATCGCGTACGTCCAGTATTCCTTGAATTGCTGACAACACGTTCACATATTTCGCAGCTACTTTATCGGATGGCTTTGTGTTGGGATCAATTCATCTATTCTCTCTTACTTCGCTGTCGCATTCGTTTCGCAATGGTGGCTGCGTACGCGCCACCCTCGCTGGTTTTCTAAATACAACTACATCATCGGAGCTGGTGAGTATTTTCGAACGTCATGAGGGACCCTGGATTAATCGAGTGATGCAGCCCTTGACGGAGGCACTCAAGTCATGGTGTTCATCCTCTCATTTGCAGTGCAAGGCGCTGGTGGGACCTCTCATTTGTTCCCTGCATGGTGGGGCGCAAACCAAGGAGGTAATTATGATCACTGTGCCATGTTGAACTGAAATTATGTGGCGCTTATCGCACGTATCATTACTAAGTGGCCCGTGTATATGAGCATATTTATCCTATCAGAGAATGTGCTGTTGGTGCAGCAGCGCTCTTTCCACGCCTTCAACTACGTTGAGATGTGGAACACAGGAAAACGCCTCATTAGATGCGTGCCACGGCTGTGGAATTCGAAAAGTTGCTGGAAACATGAGGCCGCTAAGCAAGTGTGAAATGTTCTGAAATGTTGCACTGCCACCAACGCTTCTCACCTGGCTGTGACCTATTTCCTTTTGGCCGTGCCGCTCGGCTCCAGTAGTTTTCGTTTCAAACTTTTATTTATTATTTCAATGGAAACATTTATGGCTGGCTCGAGCTCTACAACGTTCTCTACCTCACTGCACAAGGCTCATCTCTCCCTGTCTTTCATTCAACGCTAACTTTCAGCAGACCATAGGTGTCTTGCTGCACAACTCTACGGGGAACAAAGGATTCGTGACCACAGCTTTCAAAAACAATAGTAACGGTCAGTACAATGGAACAATAAACAACACGCCTTAAACATGCAACTCATTTGGAGTATCCTTTATCATGATCCGCAGCTGAAAATCCGGACCCAACAGGATCGGCAGCGTGTATCTATCCTCACTTTTACCTCTACCACCACTGGCTGGTTGGTGCTTTCATCGTTTCTCATGTTCGCCCGTATCGCCAGGTTGCGATTCCTAGCATTCCTTACTCTCTCTTCATTGACAGCTGCTAGAGATGATTCTCTGTGTATGTCTTCACTTACGGCATTGAAATTGGAATACATCTCATGATTTGTGCAGTCACTTCTTCCGTGACTTATTGCTCACCACCAGAGACACTTCTCATTCAGCAGTTTGACATCGCATATTTTGCAAAGAATCAGTCCATATGGTTCAATATTTCCGCAGCAAGTGTCGTACGTGGCTCTCTTCTTTAGTAGAGCTCTACCTCATTTTTCTCTCAAGGATCCCAACGTCAATGTGACCGCCAATGTAATGCTGAATGTTTATGGGATGCATCCAGTGAACTTTACTGTCGATTTGTGCTCGCTGTTCAGTGGTGCCCTCTGCCCATTGCCGATGTATAACTTCACCGGTTCCGACTCTATCCCTCTACCATCTTCCCTTGGTGTTTCCGACAAGATCCCTAGCATCGCTTTCCAAATTCCGGATCTTGAGGCATATGGTATGCTCTCGCCATGTTAGACTAGACGTTGCGCTCATGTCTCATTAGCACAATTGTCCCTCACGGAAGTGAACACTGGAGTCCTTAAGGCCTGTGTTCAAGCAACCCTTTCTAATGGCTGGTCAGCACATCAAGTAGCTGTGGAATGGGCAACTGGTGCACTCGCCCTACTCGCTCTTCTTTCTGCGCTTTGCTACTCGTTTACGCCGGGCGCCCTGGCACCCTTCCGTCTTTTCGATCTTCTCTACCTATATCAATGGACTGCATCAACGGCACTCCTGGATCTTAATTATTCCTCAGTCTATCGGGCATTCACGACCAACTTTGCATGGGCCATGTGTTTGTTTTCCGCGTCCGCGACCTCTCCCATTCAGATTTCCATCAACAACATGCGTCACCTCACTGGAGGCAACATGGCCGATGCCACTGGAGATTCTGCAGTCGCTCTCGTGAACCGTAAACTTAGCCCATACAATGCCATGGCTTCGTCAGCTTTTATTGCTTCGAATCCATTCACGGCCATTGATGTAGAGAACCTTTGGTCGTCTTCCAACATGACTTCCGCCAACCATGTCTCGGACGTTTTGGCCGCCTCTGTTCAAGAACTCTCCACTGCTGGCGATGTGCAGCTTGTGACACCCTCATCCGCCAATGTTCTCCAGGCCGGTGTACCTATCTATGTCAACTCTGTTGGCATCGCCACGGCTAACTCATTCATGACCGTCTTCCTGGTCGTCTTGATGATTGCCGCAATATTGCTTGTAGTCCTCTTCATCGGTTACTGCGTCCTTGCCGTTACATTCCGGTATGGACAACAGACAGAAGGTTACGTTGCTGATTGGTATCATCGATATCCTTTATATGCCCACGCCTGGCTGTTGCGCATCGTGAGTATGGCTTAACTTTCATTTAGTCATATTTACTTATCCACTGCTCTAGTGCCTGATGGTATTCACTCCAGTGACAATATTCGCGCTTTATCAGTGGACGCTCAAGGACTCATGGTTGTCCATATTCTTTTCAGTCATTTTATTCCTTGCGGTGGCTGGCTACATCCTATATTCTATCATCCTCATACATCGTCTAGCCTTTCGTTCAACGCCGTCCGAACTGTGTACGCAACCTGATCTCCTAGCTTCTCATGGTCCTCTGTACGCCATATACCGCTCGGAGCGATTTTACGCGACTACTCCCTTGATATTGGCTATTTTCGTGAAGGCTCTCTTTATCGCCTTTTCTCAAGCCAATGGTGTCGTGCAACTCGTCGCAATTCTCATTGTTGAATGCATGGTCTTTGCCTCTCTATTAGCGCTTCGGCCACACAAATCAAGAGGTGCTGATGTCCTCGCAATTTACCTGGCGATCACCAGAGTGCTCTGCACTGGCCTCATGATAGCTTTTTTGGAGAACCTAAACCTAGGGGCAATACCTCGCGTTGTGGTTGGCATTGTGATAGCTGTTATCATTTCGATTGCAATCGTTGTCATGTTTATCAACACGCTCGTGAACACGGGTGTCATGAGACTTGTCCGGGCATACTATAGACGGCGCCCGGGTGCCACACCTTGTGTTTTGGATGCGGAGAAGGGCGTTGAAATTGAGAAAGACTGGCGGCCACGGAATCCCACGCCAGAGCGGAACATCCCCCTGGATCCTGATGTCAATCAACCATATCCCGACAGTCCTTCCCAGACTCTGACGGACCATCACAGTCTCTATTCAGAAGAGTCAGGGTCAACAACTCTAGGTTCACTGCTCCCACGGCGGTGGTCAATCCAACAATCCCACCCCTCAAATCCTTCGCGTTCCAACTCTCAATCTCAGTACTCAACGAGTCAATCAAATTATTCACCCTCCCGTTCCAATTACATGTCAAATGCATCATCACCTCGGCAGTCCGTGCCGCCTTCCCCGCTGCACACACAATCACCATCACATAGCAGACAGCCCACTATAGACGAAGACCCTCCATTTCCGTAGACGTTATTTTTTTCCTTTAAACCATATTCTATAGAGTTAAAGCACTTTCGCCTTCTCGCATTGCCTATGATGACCATTCTTCATCTGGTATCAATCACATTCACGCACTCATTTGGACAAATCATGTCGATAGTTCATTGATTCCTTGTCATCTTATCCTTATTTGCTTAATGATTAGTGTCAATACAAGTAACATATTTTCGTGTAATTTGGTCTTAGACAAAGCAGATTGTTCGTAAAGTCGGTCCAACAAATTTGATCAAGGATGACCGGTGACCAATCAGCGCTGAAGTCGTTCATGGACAATTTCGTCATAGGACAGCGCGTGTGTAGGCACATGTATGGTGGTTTTACCCCGCCAGAGTAGTGGTTGCCCTATGATAGTACTGCAATTGCCCTTGCCTCCAGCGTGATATTTCGAACCGCTGAGCTGTAGGAACGAGTTCAAGACGCATTTTGGACAAAAATGCATGTCCACTGCGTTAATCGTTCTCGGGCGTTAAACGGCCCGTACCTACGTACCGTATTACATGCTTGTTCGGGTCCACGATTGAATTGAAGGTGTTTAGTTTGTGAATGTATCACGTGATGGGTACGTATGAGCATGATTAATAAACTTTATTTACCGTTCACCGCGACACCACAACGATGAACTCAAAGAATAAAGCCACGAAAGCGAAAATCCCTAATAGAAATTTAAGGGTAACTGACTTTTTTACCCGAAAACCAGCCCAACCGCCGAGTTCGTCGGTTGTGTTGTCTCAACCTAGTCCAGTCGCGTTGGCTACACGTTCGCATCAAAGCAACACCTCATCGTCTGATACATCTGTGGCAGTCTCTAACAAACAAAACATAACTACTCCTGCTTCCCGTACGTCCACTTCTAGTGGATCTGGCACTCTTCTTTACCCACTCCACACATCATTTAAAACTCGCTCTTCTACTTGTCAATCTCCAACAGGTCCTATGGCATCACCTCGTATTACACGCAGTCATGCAGCACAGAGCACCCCTAGGAGGGCCCCTCAAAAGCGTCCTCATTCCCCAGACCAGTGTTTCGGCGCTTCTCACCTCCTGAGCGCGTCTTCGTCCGCCAAGGTCAGGTTGCCTCATAAGCGCAAGAAGAAATTCGAGAGCGACTCCGAGAGTGAACGCCCAAGCGGTGTTATCTATGTCCGCTCTCCTTTAAAACCATCAACACTGGCCCCTCCACTCACAGGGCCTCACACCCCTTCATCTAGTAAGCATCTGATATACAGTAGCCAATCTGACGAGATGGAACTCGTCGTCCCTGTACTAGAAACTCGCGCCCTCACTCAAGTCAATGAACAAATCCACAGGTGGCGCCAAACTACTCTGGTATCACCATCCTCATCTGTCATTGATGACAGTAGCCCCTGTGACTCAGGTGCAACGGACGCAGGCCTGCCAGTACCTGTTACTTCTTCATTACATGGCGGTGCGGGCTTACGCTCTGCAATATCCTTGCCTAATGCAGTTCCTGAGACGCCCCTTCAACCCTCTGCTTCACTGCCCTCCCCACCTGACACTGCAGGTGTTCCACCAATTCCCGCCACACCCGCATCCGATAAAGCAGGCAAGGCTGCGCAGCTCATTGCAAGTATCAAGGCAAAAGCATTTGCCGAAAGCCCCCTGAGCGACGAGGAGAAAAACTACAAGTTCCGCGAGCTCGATGAGAGCAGCGACGACGACCTTGAAAACATGACCCTCCTTCCTGACAAGAAGGGCAGGGGCAAGAAGTCTGTCTCATTCCATACACTTCAATGTACCATATTTTGAAACCGAATTCTTCTTAGCTTGCATCTTCCTGTCCTGGATGGTATGGATGGCATATTCGACTCGCCGCTATCAAGTGTCCCATCTTCGCCACCCAAACCCTCCACCTCCTACAATCTCCGTAATCGTCGTTCTCCTTTTGCCTCCCCTACGCGCCCCCCTGTTAATACCCACAGGATGTCCCGAACCCAAGTACACACCCGCTCTGGTCGTACAAGCAAGCCTGCGCCGCCCCTGTACCTCCCTACCATCGTCGTCACCAAGAATGCGCTTGGACCCTCAAAGCTGCAGAAGTCTTTCAATCCACTTGAAGCGCTCCTTCGCGAGAAAAAGGCTGCAGAGAAGCGCGGAAACGGGAGTACCGCATTCCTACGTGCTGAGGACGCTTTACGGGCCCACGTCTATTCAGATGCAGATCTGCAAGATGATTTAAACTTAGCAGATGAGGGTGCCGCGTGGCAGGCGATTCAAGAACACGCTCAACGCAAGTCGAGTAGCCCCATTCTTGAACCACTGGAAGATGATGTGTTTATGGACAAATGCGAGACCAAAATTCTTGGCCGTGAGGTAGGGGAAAAGATCGAAAAGATCCTTGTCAGTGATAAGAACTGTGAGAGCCAAAAGCCGAAGGAAAAAATTGTGGATGCGCCGTTCTGGCAGGAGAGTGCGGGTGATGATGAGATGGTTGTTGATGAAGAGTATAATGTGAACTTTGGGGATGCCAGTAATCATCCCGTACTGGCACTTTTGCAGCACTTGAGTGGGATCGGAGGTGCGTGTATATATCTAAGCCGGACTTGGAGACTCATGTTCTGGGTAGCCGCCGATCAGCTGGCTTTGACTCTGTCTTCAGGAGTGCTCGGTGCTCTGGGTCCTGAGGAGAAATCCCTTGTTATTTCTCCTCTTTTTGCGCTGGGTATGTTTTTCCACTGATCGAATAATTCATATCTTTGTTTACCCACATTTTTGCGTCTCTAGCCATCAGCCTTGCTGAGTCCTGCCTCTCTGGTGCAGCATACAGTGCTCTGTATAGTTTGTGGAGTGCAACACCCCACACAACCAAATCTGCGCTCCGCTTCACCGACATTGCTACTGCACTTGTGAACCTCGGTGCACGTCAACATGTGGTAGAAGACCTCTGCTGGATTATTCGTAAGGATGCACACCCGCTACGCATCACCGCTGAAAATCGCTCGCGTGTTTTGAGTAAGCTGGTAACGCTAGTGGGTATTGCTGGTCGGTAGGTATCAATTTCATAGGTAGAAAAGCACTCACGCATGATGAATCACAGAACGGAAAATTTTGTTGCAGAAGATATCCCGAACGTGCTATTGAGCCTCGTGCTTATTGGCCTCGACGGCATCACTTCCAACGAACTGAGAGCCAGCTTACATCTCGCCATTGACAACATTTGCCGGACCATCAATACGTCAACTGTGAGTTCGCATTCCCAAAATGCAGCGCGTTATTCGACTGAGCATCTTGTAGCATCTTTCCGTTCATCAAAGACTTCTCAGTCATGCGTCTACGCTTACACCAGCCAATAAAGCCCATTTTGTTTCGTTCTTTAGTAGCGGCAGTGGCCGCACTCGTCACATCGCACAATGGCTAGCATATGCGTTGTTCCTTCCAAGCAGCAGGCCCTCCGTACGTATCTTTTCTACTTTGTCTGTTTTGTTTCCCTCACATACATGATTCATAGGATACACTCCCTCCACTCGAGCCGCTCATCCTTCTGCTTTCGCCTGTACCTGGCTCTGATGAGCTCTTCGATGTGACAAGCGCAAACGCGGACTTCGAGGACCTCATGCATTACTTCGCTATCATCAGTGTCGCGCTCATAAACATCGAACCTTACGTTCATGAAGAGAACTCATCTTCTCAGTCACTTTCTCGCCAATTATCGATAGACGACAGCCCCCGGAAGAGTCAGAAGCCTCTTGCTCCTCTCGAGCTACTTCTGCGGGTGTTAGAGGTCACGCAGGGGCGTATTGGTGAGCATCAGTTGTATGTAGTTGGTCTCATGCGGTATTGATGGTGGTTTGATGCAGTTGATACACGCGCGGCACACCTAGATCGCTCACGCACGAAGGCAGAGATGCATCGTCTCCAGATGCGCGTGTATTATCAGCGCCAGGCGCTCAAACCCGCTGCAGCATGGACAAAGATGGCCACCATCCAACATTACTTCGGTCCCAAGTAGCTCCCCGAGTATACCTAGGTCACGCATTTGAGGCTTACTCTCTTCTCTTTGCTACTCGTTTCACGCATACCTCACTTTCTACCGTGCGATTTCATGTGGATGTTAACCTCCACTTCTTTGCTTCTGCACAATGCCCCTTCCGACATCATCATGTTTTATGCTCAGACGATACTTTCTTTCAATTGTATGAGCTACCGATAATTCTATTCCCCGTCTCTTTGCCTGTTGCAATAACATATTATGTCCATTATAGCATACCTATTGTAGATGAATCCGCTGTCAACCAGCTTTAAATCGTGTATGCTCTGCACCCTTTACCTTCCTTAGTATTTGTAGTTTGGTCTGAATGTTGTTTTCCGGTTTTTGTGACACGTCAACTACTCCAATCTTTATTGTGTGGGCAGCGAATGTGCATGGGAACAATACTCAGGTCGTATCCACCACGACGTATGAGCCTCATTCATCTGAGCCCAATGAGCTCCCAGCCCGCCCGAACCCCTTCTTAGCAGCCAGTCGTGGATCAACATACAGGTCATCCGAGTCATCGTTAAGGTCAAGCTCGATATCCCATACTGGCGCCGGTTCACGTGGAAGTGGAGGTCCGGAAGAAGCAACGGGGGGAGGACTGTCGAGGTCGAGTTCTATGTCCCACACTGGGCTTGGGCTACGTTGCGCTAGTTCTTTTCCTTTTCCTTTGCCACTTTGTGCAGGTACCAGGTCAAATATCGCTTTTGAACCTGGGGCAGCCCTAGGTTCTGTCACCTCCAGAACGGATTTTCTGTTGGACGTAGACACGACCTCGTCGCCAGCACCCCGTGTGAGTTGCGAACCCACAGAAAATACAGCGCTGGTAGCACGATTTCGAAACGTTTTGTCGAAGGCGTCTTTAATGCGACGAACTTTCACGGGGCCAAAGCCCGGTAAGGTCTGTAAGTGATCAGATGGGGCGCGAGCTATGTCGGCGAAGCTCTGGTCCGCTAGCTAAGCATGTTTCAAATCCAAAGAGTGCGGAGATGACATACCCCAAGTGACGAGCGCAACGTCTCGACGTCAGTTTTGTTCACCTTATTGATGCTGGTGAGCGCAGTGCGGAGGACAGCATTGTAGTCCTTGTCCACACGCTCCTTGATGAGATCTGGTGGTTTGTGCTCAAACTGCTTGAGTGTAGAGATATACTGCCCTGCTTCTTCGATGCTGCAAAAGTGGGGCATTCAGTCGTCTGATTAATTACAAAAGCTGCGGACGAATACCTCCATGCGACGATGATGGTGATGTTATTGATGAGACAGACCTACATGGATGGTCGTGAAACTGAGAATTGATGGTCATGGGAGGGGGCAGACCTTGGTAAGCTCCCGGATTGGCTCCTGATGCTCGCTCTGCAGGTGAAGGAAATTAGAGAGTTCTGGGTGGAAGTTCAAGAGCTACTTACAACATCGCACATGATAAGCAAAATTCTGAGATTATATGCATGCCCAAGTTTCTCTATGCGAGTATGAATGTACTCTGGGTGCAGGCGGTGATATTTCAGACTTTATTCCAATATGAAGGGTACAGTTCAGTAATAAACAACGCGAGACAGCGCACCTGAGGAAGAGCACACCAGAAGTACGCCCCACTTGGAAGTCGGGAACGATATCACCGAATTCTTTGCCGACATTGCGAATGCATTCAAGAACAGGGTTCAAGCGCTGAGGTTTTTTACATCAAATTGAGTCAAAAGAATCGAAAAAGGCGCTGACCTGGTTGGGATTTATGATGATATTGTTGCCTGTGCCAGGCTGTACTACGGGAGGTTTAGCTTTTTGAGCAGCAGATCCCCCTGCTGACACGCTCGTCATAAGTTACCGTCGAACTTGAGTCGAGCGACTGAATCAATGTTCGGCAACTTGATGAAAAAGGACTAGGATCATGATGGACCCGTGACACGGAACCGCGTGCATCTCATCCGTGACTGACCCGTTCGGATTTCCGAGTTAATCTTATTTCGCTATCATCTACTGCATTGTGCAAACATATAAATATAAGAACAAGCGTCTGTCGGTAGTGACGTGGCTTTTGTTCATCTCCTTGTTCGAAATGGACAAGCTACCTACCTACTCCGAGTCGTCCCCGGCAGTCGACCTCCCGCAGCTGCCAAGATGGAGGCTGAAGCACAGAATGGCACCAATAGCACTCACGTTATGTTTCATATCTGTAGCAAGCTTAGTTTTATCTCTGTCCCAGCTTGCGTTGCTGGGAAAGCCATCCGTTCAGCTTCCCCTGCATGCTGAGCAGATACTGCAGAAATGCCACATGCTACACGCAAAGCCTGGCCCACCTTCCGACTTTCGTCAACGCACCGAGTCAGATCGTTTTGTCGAAGGAACTCATGCGACTCTGATTAGAAACGCGTCCATTTGGACTGGCGATCAGGAGATCACGCAGGGGGATATTTTTCTCGACAAGGGTATCATCAAATTTATTGGGCATGCAAGCCCAGGTATGTTCAATAAGTTTAGGGATTTGATTACGTTGGACGCAGGTGGAAGTTGGGTCACGCCTGGGTACGCGCGCACATGATCAAAGATTTCTTACTAACCATACACTCAGGATAGTCGACCTTCATTCCCACCTAGGCGTCGACAGTGTCCCAGCTCTACATGGCGCAGCTGATACCAATTCATTCAAGGGTATGACATCGTCTCATGTTTCAATAATGTATAAAGACCCATCTTTTTCGCAGGTCCTGTCTTACCCTGGCTCCGCAGCCTCGATGGGCTCAATACCCACGACGATGCCTACAGGCTCAGCATATCCGGTGGCGTAACTACTGCAAATGTTCTCCCTGGCTCTGCTAATGCCATTGGTGCAGTCACTTTGATTGCTCTGCACAACGCTATTAATACATCCTACAGGTGGCCAGGCCTTCGTTATCAAACTTCGTCCCACTGCAGAACGTTCTCCCTCATCTATGCTCTTGGAACCACCATATGCTCTTAATGGCACGCATGTTGATCCGACCTTGCCTCCACGATGGAGACAAATGAAGTGCGTCTCTATTTTCTTTCTTGAAGCATGTGCACTCACTCATTTTAATCACAGACACGCGTGCGGCGAGAATCCCAGTAAGCTTTCATTCTTCCTTATCTCACATGTCCTTATCAAACACAAATTTGAGGTCGTGTATACGGTAACACGCGTATGGACACTTTCTGGGCTTTCCGACAGGCGTGCGTTCTACAGCCTCTCTCCTTGGTTTTTCTTCCCACGATAACACCCATACACACAGATATGACACTGCTCGGCAGATTAAAGAACAGCAGGATGCGTATTGCACTCGTGCGCTAGCAGGTGAATGGGAAGACCTCGGTGAGTTCCCGGACAACCTACAGTGGGAAGCGCTTGTAGATGTATTGCGTGGGCGTGTCAAGGTATGTTTCAGTCTTTCCTGTCGTGTAAGAGGGTATTCTAATTGTCTCTCCTTGACATGAGATTCACACGCATTGCTATGAGACAGTTGATCTGGATGACTTTATCCGCGTGCGTAACGTTAAACTGGTGGTGGTGGTGGTGGATGGGCGCTGATGAGGTTTGGACTGTAGCTTACCAACGAATTCCAATTTCCTATCGCTGCGTTCCACCATGCTCACGAGACATACCTCGTCCCCGGAACTCTCAAGCAGGCGTATGGTACAGTGATCTCGCTTTGCTGATATCTCGTTGTGTTGATGTGTTTGACAGGCCAGATCCCTGCGGCAGCCTTGTTCGCTACGAATGCTCGGTATAAGCGTGAGGCATACCGTGGGTCGGAATTCGCCCCGCGTATTCTGGCCGAGAACGGGATTGACGTCGTAATGAAGGTCTGCACATTTGTCTTCCCTCCTCTGACTCCTATATTGATTTGATATGTCCCGCAGAGTGATCATCCTGTCCTCAACTCTCGCTTCTTGTTATATGAGGCGCAGCAAGCGTACTTGTATGGCCTTCCGGCGAATCTTGCTCTTGCATCTGTGACATCGACGCCCGCGCGCATCATGGGGCAGGACCATCGGATTGGGTTCGTGCGTGAAGGTTTGCTGCTATCTCTTCACCATTAAACAGACGCTGACATATCTCCGATACCAGGATATGACGCTGGTCAGTCTACTTGTTGTATCTCTGCCGCGAATCATGACTAATTCTGACTACAGATCTTGTCCTTTGGGATAGCCACCCTCTCGCGCTAGGTGCAACGCCGCAACAAGTCTGGATTGACGGCATCCCCCAACTTTCGGAGCCCGCAGTCGCTTCCAAACCCGTGTCGTTCCAACAGGTCCCACGCACACCAAACTTCGATCTCGAGGCTGCCGCGGCCATCAAGTATGAAGGACTCCCACCCCTGATGCCCAGGAAGGCAAAAGATTTAGTGGTATTTGCGAATGTCAGTAGCATGTATATGCCAGATGGAATGGGTGGTGTGATGAGTGTGGCTGATGTAGGAGAGCGGGGTGTGGTAGCCCTCAGAAAGGGTGTGGTGCAATGCTGGGGTGCTGCAGCTGCTTGTGCGAGCGAATTTGCCTCGCAAGATGCTGAATGGATCGACCTTGAGGGTGGGTCAATTGCGTGCGTTATGACCAGATCTTAGCCCTATTCTCCCAATTTAACGCGCCTTATGTAGTCCTGGATTGATCTCCTACGGCTCCCCACTTGGTTTGGAGGAGATTCAGGGCGAGAGCTCTACTCACGACGGCACTGTTTTCGACCCTCTCACCGGCTCTATCCCAAGCATTCTTGCGGGAGGCGAGCTCATTAAGGCTTCAGATGGTCTCCAGTTTACTGGGCGCGACACGCTGTAAGCCATCTCTCAAATTATCGCTATTTCTGCTCTAACTTATATTTACGCTAAAGCCTCGCCTACCGCGCAGGTGTCACTGCAGGTGTTACCGCTCCAAGCACAGATGGGCTTATCGCGGGACTGAGCACGGCATTTAGCACTGGCGCAGCGCACAGACTTGAGGACGGAGCTGTCATCCAAGATGTCGCGGCACTGCATGTACAAATTGGACACTCAAACCGAGGTCCAAGTGTCAGTACGCAAATCGCAGCGCTAAGGAATATGCTGCTGGGTGATAAGAGCAGTACCACGCTTGCTGACGTTGCAAAGGTATGTTTCCATCTGTCTTGCTATATGATTCATGTAATGTATCTTGATGTATATCTCATAGGGCGCTATCCCCCTGGTTGTGCAAGTCCAAAACGCGGATATCATCGCCTCGCTTATTGAGCTGAAGAAAGATATCCGCACGCGCACCGGGACTGATATTCAGCTCACTATCTCGGGTGGTGCTGAGGCCCATCTTCTTGCCAAGGAACTAGGTGAGGCGGGCGTTGGTGTCATCCTCACACCATCCCGTCCCTTCCCTGATGTCTGGGAGTCAAAGAGGATGTCAGTGACGTACATTGAATTATGCCAAACAAACTCATTATCTACCAGAATACCTGGACCGCCGTTGACCAATGAGAGTGCTATTACCACCCTCCTAACTTATGGTGTTACTGTTGGTATCGGTATCGTGGAGCAGTGGAGTGCTCGTAACACGCGCTTTGACGTAGCATGGGTGTGTAGATCCTCTTTCATCAAGTCTCTGGCTCATCGTATGGCTATCAGGCTGCTCTTGAAAGCTTTGACAGGATCTCAAAGGAACAAGCTCTTGCACTTGCTTCAGTCAATCTTGAGAAGTTATTGGGAGTCAAGCCCTCTGGAGGGCTCGGCGATATGGTTGTAACTCGTGGCGGCACAGTCCTCGACTCCGAAGCGAAAGTCATCGGCATCATCTCAGCTCGTAGAGGCATCATCGACCTAATCTAGATAGAGATAGGATAGCAGCAGGACATAGCAATACAGTGTAAGGAGGACACCACGAAGCGCAGCGTCATGAGGCTTTGATACTTATGGAATGTGCTTATTGCGGCTTTCCTATGAGGGACTGTCTGATATGGTCCTGGATCAAAGGGAGCCCTTTCATAATGAGCTTGATGGGTTTGCTCTCCTCTATAGCGATCAAATCAGACATAACTATAGTCGCTTCTAAGAGACACGAACCGATCTGAAGGACTCTGCCGTGTCTCTTGAGAATCCTCGCTTCGGGAGCACATGCTGGGTGCTCTGGATGGACAATTACGAGCGAGTTCTTTGTGGCATATGAGATATGCCAGCTGCAACGAAACACGACGCAAACCTTGGAATACCATGCTCGGAGCTCATCTGCGTCCTTGGGTATCAACGGGATGTTCATGTTGCCCACAACCTGTATCACCGTATTGACATAGCGAATCATGCCAACCGCTGTAGGAGAAGTGAGCTGTCTTCAAATTATGCTTAAAGTGCGAGATGCATACGACGGCTCTCCATAAGCTCCACAAGTGCATGGCAACCGGGGCCATGTCCAATGAAGATGATGTTTTTCGCTCCCGAAAGCCTGAAAAAAAATTAGCCTTTAGAGCTAGAAAATTCGTGGAGATGGCTAACTGTATATAGTTATCCCATAGGTACGTAAGAACGTCCCTTGACCACGACTCCACGTGTTTGTGGCCGCGCTGATAGGCTATATGGTCAATACCACAACATTATTACTAGCAAACGTACCGGCAGAGGCGAGGCAAATGGTCTCGGGAAGACATTGACATCGAGGAGAGCATATTTTTCCTTTGTAACCCATGAAATGAGTTCTTTCGAAAAGTCGATCTGGGACATATTAGCATGAGTTGGATAAATGTGCCATCAATAATGGTCAACTGACTAGGTAAGAGTTCTCCATCTGCACGTCGCACGTAGGTTTTCCGTCTAGTTCTATGCGCAGATTTCCGCTGTAATAGAGTCAGTAATGAACGAGACCACTCGGAAAACGTTCACAATTCATGGACAAATACAATAATTGTAGGATTTTCTAAAAAGTCACTCCTACATTTCGCTCAGCCTAACAGAGTAATAACAAATCAGACTACGCACGTGCACATAACCTGAGAGCCGAAACGCTCTTCAAACATCTTGGTCATTAATGGAACCTGGAGCATTTGGTATTGCGTGTAGAGAAAGTGTTGTCTGTGGCCCTTGAGGATTTCTGCAAGGAATTCATGAAACGCGAAGTTACACGCCATGGAAGGAAATTCTTACCTGGTATTGAGAATGATATTTCATCGACCTCTGTAAGTTTGTATGAGCACTCGACTGTTTCCCAATAGATGTGGAGACAAACCTTCGCGTGGTTCACAGGCCTTGGGGTTCACGCTCTTCCAGTATTTGCTCTGCTCCATAGCGACCTGCCAAACCGTTTCTGTCCCTGCTTCAGACGCAACCATAGGGGGGAGCTCAGGAGGAGCCTCGCCGAGAAGTACGCGAGCAACTGCGAGAGAAGAGTTAGATATCGAATCAAGATTATAGCCACCCTGTGGAAATTGCAATCGGAAACTCAGAATGTCACGGATTAAGCGACGTCATCAGCAAACTTACCTCTAGTGCAACAACTAAATTTCCACTAGCGAGTCCCGATAACATGTGTGTCATGTGTGCGTATCCCGCTGGAGAAACAAAACATTCGCCAAGATCATCTCCAACAGCAGCGTCAAAGCCAGCAGAGACTTCATAACATCAGCCCATGAGTGGCGTGGAAAATAGGGAGCATACTAATCACTAGGTCTGGAGCAAATTCCATTCCTATTGGCATCACAATTTGTTGGAAGGCGTGGATATAATCCGCATCTGCCATGCCCTTCTTTGGCCAAGGTATATTGACAGAGCTGCATTCATCAATCTCTGTGAATGCTGAATGGGGTGTTCACTTACTAGCCAAGACCAGCCCCTTCACCACACGATTCCAGGCTGCCAAATGGTCCACACGGGTAAAATTGCCCTCGCTCATAGCGATGCAATGAGATGTACAGAACGGAGGGGTCGTCGTTGAAAGCACGCTGTGTTCCATTACCTACACAGGCATTTATATGATGACATTGATACAGTGATTGACATACCATGATGTACATCCCTTCATAAGAAGTGAGAATATGAATAAAAGAAAGGTTGTGAAGACCTACCAGTCGAGTATCAAAATCTTTCTGACTGGAGTCAGAAACTGTGTGACCTTTGCAGCGACAGCGACATTGTTGAAAAAACAAAAACCCATGTGCTCCTCAGGCTCAGCATGGTGCCCGGGAGGTCGTACTATTGCAAAGGTCTTCTTCAGCTCGCCACGAGCCACAGCGAGACAGGCCTCAATCACGCCTCCACAACTCAAGCGCGCAGCTCGGGTAGTACCGCTCGTAACGTACAGAGATAGGGACTCATAATAAGCTTCTGATTCAAAAATCTCGGACGGTGTCATTGCTGAAGCAGGTGAATTCTCGAAGTAAGCAATGTATCTTATGCTTGAAACACTAATGCGGATATGATTTACGGGCCGCCACTCACATTGAATTGCAAGGACCTTGTGCCAATGTTCTTGAGAATGGACAAGAAGGGCCTCATCTCGCTTCACAGGTCGAATCGGGATTTGTTTCATTTTCTGCAATAAATTCGCGTCGCGAATTGCCGTTCGAATTCTTGATATTCGTTCTGGCTGCTCCGGATGCTCCCCAGTTGCCGATGAATGGAGCATCATGTCCTGAGAATAGACATAACCGACCGTGAAATGCGGCAGACGATGCGGCACGGAGGAAGCGCGTTGGACAGGACTCGATGAACGTTGAATGGATACTTGATTTCGGTGATATTCTTCTCCATCCACGTCCATTGAAGTTCCCGCAACTTGTCCGTTCATGGTGAGCTCAGTGCCGACCGCGCTCGATAGAGCTCGGATACTCGTTTGAAAGAAGAATGAAAGAGATAAAATCACTGTAGATTCGAAACCTTAGCTTACAAGGAGGGCAAGTGAACAAAGCAAGGCCAAACACCATGCCAACCATAAAGAGTATGTATGAAGAGGCATATGCATATGACTATTTGGCAGTGCCTAGCATGTGCATGTGCCATCAGCACTGCTAACCTGATTTCCCGTATCAAGATCAAGCTAGGTGAGTTTTTTTTTTGCTTGAATGTCACCATAGCGATCACGAACTTAAATAAATTATTCTTACCAGCTACCGACTCCGAACCCTCTACGAGTTCGCTAATGAATTAGGTCCCGCCACGACTACTGACACTTCAAGGTCAGTACCGTGACTCTTCCCCACATATCTACTTATAATGTGCCATGTGCCTTCTCAGATCTTGTCAGGCTTTGTTAGCGCCATGGCCTTCAGCCTCAAAAACTACCTCTTATATTCCCCATATTTTTGTTTCTGCATACCGGTGCGATTTGGATTCGTGCTGTTGACTTGTCTGTCCTTCCTATTTTCGGGTTTGCTATCTGTTTTGGTGTGGTTTGAACTGTCTCGTGCGTGTACTCAAGTCTGTCACATTATCATGGTGTAACACTGACAATGTTATTCTAGATTCTTCGCTGACTGGCAAGGAGAAATATTCCTTTTGGGCTGTGGGTATTGTAGAAACTATATTGCTTGCTGTTTCCATCATTGGGTGTGTCATACATATATCATATTCTGGACCGATTCTTATTACTGGTGGCCTGAACAGGTTCATTGGCGCAGTTGCACGCAAGCAACGATTTGTCGGGATCTATGCATACTTTGTCTACATCCATCTTCTTATCAATCTCATCGTTGGCATCTATTTCCTCGTCACCATCCGCCAGAGCAACCGACAACAGATAGTTAGCGAATGCTATGTTGTGTTCGCCAACAATCCATCTGAATCCAACTGTCGGAACCTCATGAATGTCTCAACATACGTTTTCATCGCTGTGGTATCATCTGTGTTGCTTCTTGAATTATGTGCGTCGAATTCGTGGCCCTCCACTCGATACTGATGGGCGTCTATCGTCATTTTAGACGGTGCTCTCATTGCTACTAGATATCTAAACACACTCACAAAGCAGAAGAAGGTCGAGCACAGTCGCAGATTGGGATTATACCATGCAGTTGCCAGAATCCCTCGTAGTCGTCCTCGCGATCCAGGCAGCGTGTCTGATGACGTAGAATTGCTTCATCCTCGAGACGGTTCTGCCACCACTTTTTCGTCGCTTGGAGGTCCGTATGATTATGGTGACGACATTCTCGACATAACGCATCCACCTACAAGCTACGAGCCTGTCCCAACACATCACCCCGATATGCTTTCCCATAATCAACAGCCATCACAGTCGTCAAGCACTCCTGCCCATCGTCAACTGCCATCTCACTCAAGCGCATCCCCTTCATCTAGTACTTCTTCACCTTCACGAAGCTTCCGTGCACTCCCCCCTCGACCCTCGAGTGGTGTAGTCACTGAAATTTCAGTGACACGTATATCACCACAAATATCGGATCGAGCGCCACGTACTACGACAACCTCTGACCCCCCGTCGAGCTTCTCGTACGAGAGCTGTGATTCATCAACACATCCAAATGGTGACGTTGATCGACGATCAACGTATTCTGTTTCCACAAGTGCACATGCAGCATTAATGGAACATGCTTCATTTATGTGGCCAAGATTCCCTCTAGTCCCAGAGTTGCCACCACCATATCGTCAGTCTGGGAGATAGCATGGACTCGATGGAATAATTCCTCGATCTACTTGAACTTTTATTATTAATGTTTTTATCGCTACGACACACTGTAGTTTTACCCTGTTACATTTCGATGGACTCCTTAGGTCAAGGCATATTTATTTACTTATCTATAATGGACAGCGATCTAGCTAGTACTTGTTGGTCCGACAAGTGAGTCAACAGGTCCAAACATCGACTCGGAGCACCCCCAGACTTAACAGCAAAGACAATACTTGGCAAGGACGAACATAACGACTATATCTACACGGCGAGACATACACATACTAGATGACATGCACAAGCGTCATGACGCCCAACGCCAGCACATCATTGACTCCGTACGTTTCCTGTCTTTCTGAACGTTGTACATGAAACTCACACTGGGTCAGTTGCATGACCTATTGTTCCACTTGCATGCCGTCTCCTTCTTCCTCGCGCCCTCACTCGTACCACTGGTTACTAGAGCCATGTGTTGTCAAATTCTGTGCTACAAGCCGAGAGATATCGACCCCAAAGTCTCTCTGCGATCGTGGTTCCTGCTCACTTTCTTCCTTAATTTCCCAAGCTTCTGGTTACATGCACGAGAGGGCACGGTTGAGGGGCGTACGGTTGTGCTGGATTTTGTCGGAATGGGTGCGTTTATTGTCATACTAGCTTTCATGAAAACGATAACAATGACCTCATAGAGTATGAACCTTCTAAAATGCACCTCCTTCTGCTCGACATCCTCATCTTGGTTTTCCTATTGCTGCTGGAAACGCTCGCGTACGAGACATCGCTACAGCAATCATCCTCTATCACCTCCGAGGTTCTCCTTCGACACCCTCTCATCCCCACACCGCCACTCTCATACTCGATCGAAGATGAACAGCCGAAACCTTCGCGTAGTGAACGAACATACATAGTAGACCTGCGCCTCGCGCCCCTGATAAATCGCATACGACAGCCGGCTCCAGAGGTAGTAGAGCAGCCAATTGAGGCACTTCCACTCCCTAATACCACCAACATCCCCGCGATACCCCTCCGTTTTCAAGCATTCATGAGGACAAGAGGACGTCTATCACAGCCCGAACATGGTTCCACGGCTTCAAACGGACAGGAACAAATTGAGACTGAACAGAGGTTACCAGGGAGTATGGGAACCGAGGATGTCAGTTAGTTTAGCTGTATATGTATTTTAATTGGCATGGCTTTTCAAAAGGACCCCAATCTATGTCATCTTCCGGACACTTCATCTTCGCATGTATTTAACTAGGCATCACCATTTGCGTTTCATCTTGAGAAATCAACAGGGTCAGAGGGTACTTCCTTCATCACCACGAAGAAGACATACAGCTTCGCGCAAACACTGCCCGAACTTTTCAAATTCCTGTTTGCAAGAATCTTTGCGAATATCTGTATAGGCAGCAAGTATGCATTTTCCATATACCGTTGCGTGCGATGAACATGTGGTAGTTGAATGCAGTGCTAACTGCCTGAGAGGTGTCTTGCTTGTCTTCGCTGTCTGCATGACTTGGAGGAGCAGAACACGTTCGGGAATTCGAATTGCTGATTATGTAATCGGAGACGGCTTTAAACTTGAATACCGCAAATTATGCTTTAAAACGGCGAACAAGCGGCGAATTCGGAACTTCCACTGATCATTTGGCAAAACCGAATACATGATGCAGCTTTAACCCACACACCACCACTACAGAGCACCAAGGGCTTCAAGTTATCCGACGCTCAAGGCGCGGTATATGATAGTCCCTCAAAGTCCTACCATTGTCGAACCTAAATCTGTGAGAGTCATTGCAACATGCTCAAAATTTACCTCCTGGTTTCTTGCATCTGCGTGCTCATAGTCGCAGTCTTCTATACTTTCTACTGGAACCGCATTATTTCTGGATTTATTAGTCTTCTCCTACGAGTCAAGTACTGGCGACAAGGTGGCTCCAGCATATGGGTGCACATTGGTCCGTTTTACATTATACTCGACTCATTGGCACCACTCAAGTTATATCCCAGGATCCATACACCTCTCAATCCTTGCAGGACGCATACTTCTCAAAGATGTCAAATATCATTCCAGCAATATGACCGTCAGAATTGTGACAGCTCAAATATCTTGGAGATATTGGTTGCGCGTCCCAGCTACTGAGGATGATCTGAATCATGCTCATGTTGGTGGAGAAGAATGTAAGAGTCACGTTCATTTGGTCTTTATGCATTGAATAACAAGTGCGTGCCCTGATAGTCAACCATACGTCGCCATTCCCTTCCTGCCGGATCAAAGTCTCTGTTCAGGGATTTGAGTGGCTCTTGTACAACAAGACTGCAGCATATGATCATATCATCTCTCAAATGCAGGCCAAGACATTTCCAAGCCCGGAGGTTTCGGAACCTCGCAGAATGTTTTCTCGTAGTTCAGGAACTGAAGGTATGTTATTCTATCTACTTGTTGTTTATCTAACCTACTTGTTTGATCATAGGGCCGGGTTTCTACCCCCCTCCTGCACTGGCAAATATCAAAGCTCTTCCTGTTATTCATGCTGCACTGGCGTGGATTAAACGTCAGACGCCCTACCTCGATCCGAATGACATTTTGCCCATTGCGCTTGAGCTGTCCAAGGTTGCCATAACTTGCGGCAATTCTTCAACACCCAGCCTGTTTGTCGCAGAGTGTCATAGAGCGGAAGGCACGTTTGGGATTGTCCAAGTCGGCTTGTTCATATTTGACATGCATATTAATACTGACACGTTGGACAGGCGAGGTCGAAGTGCGACCTCTATAAACAACTTCTGAATCTGAAATTTCAGAAAGTGCTTGTGCAACTCGTTGAGAACCACAGCTACCAGGGTAGCATGCCCACAATAGGACATCGCATTCGCGAGAATGCAGAATCATCGAGGTTCGTTGTGTCTGCGTTTAATGGCTTCGATTGATGTCATCGCTGTGCCGCATTCAAGTCGGTTCCTAGAACTAGTTCCTTTAGGTTATCTTCCATTCCGGGCATTCTCCAGGGTTTGGAAAGGACTGAAGTTATATACGTCTGGCCATGGCCCGTCCGTCCACGACCACCATGCAGCTGAGAAGAGTTTTGGACCCATGCCAAGCGGAAAATCGGCCAAGAGCATTGACGAGGAAACACCCGTTGGCGCTGACTTCACTGCTTTAGAGTATGCTATCGAACGGCGGATTATCGAAGCCCCCGTTCTGGAACTATCATATTACACAGATGTCGTCGGCGACGTGCCTGTTGCACAGGATGGTCCAAGGGGTATGGGATTGGAATCCTATGACATCGGGAATGGTGACCTACCTCCTGAGTGGGGTGTAGACCTGGTAATAAGAAAGGGCACTATCCGCTATGGACCATGGGCTGATCGTCAACGGTAACGGGCATTTTTTTATTTAGGAAGTGCCTTCATGATTCGAATTCTATTTCCAGAGTTCATCTGCAACAGACATTTTTCCCATCAACATATCACGACTTGGAGGTGTCAAAACACCTTAAGCCTGGAGATAAACGTACTTGGACTGCAATGAAAGTGTTTATCGAACTTCGCGATAAGACAGTTCTGTATGTTCCTTTCCGAGAGCCTTCAAAGGTAAATAATGGCAAGAGGCCCGTATCTCTTTATTCATCCTCTCTTAGAACTGGCAATGGGATGGTGTTAGCGACTATCCGCGTCCTAGGAAGCGCGACCACGCAGCTCTTCATTGCACTGCAGGTGACAGTTCCTCAATTAGCTACCTTCTGCCTATGGTTACAGGACCCGATGGATATGAACCTCGTTTGGAGGTTCATCTCGATACAGTTTCTGTAACGTCGAGTCTCAACGATATCAAGCTCATCGCGGCTGAGTCGTGTCGCGTTCGTACATATCCTACTATCTCATGGAAATTATGCTAAAAACCACTCAGGTTCATGCGTCATTCCCATCACCTCTTGTATGGAACGCCGAGCGTCGTTGGACATTCTCTATCTCTCTTCGTCAACCGGTTATATATCTCTTACGAGACCACATCAATATGTTCACTGATTTGACGCGGGACTGGACCTTTGGGCCGCCTACTGAATGGAATCTTTTTGTGCCGACTATTTATGTACTCGAGCTTGATCTGCACCACTTTGAGCTCAATTTGTATGCCAACGACCAGAACATCATCGATAAGCCTCTGGTCAAGGGGGAGAACAGTACGTGCATTCTGCTATATGGTTGGAAGTATCATTATTCATAAAAGATTAAGCGTTGGTGACGATCCGTGCACCACGTTTCAACATTCAAGTTACCTTCCCGTCAAATAAATATCGACCCGAGGCGACGTCTATCCCATTTGTTGTCGATGTTCCGGATGTAAACGTTTCCCTCTCCTTGCCGCGGTGGAATACGCAGTACCTCTACAATTCAGGGAAAGAATATCGTATAATCCACGCAGCAACGTTCCGCATCACGTCCTCGTATTACTTCTGGGCCGATGTCCAAGCTGACAACATTGATCAGTTAAAACTCACTATCGAGGTATGTCTGGCATTTTCTGATCGCGCCCCTCGCTCATCGCCACTAAGACTAGTAAAGTTGCATACAAGGCCCTCGGATGGTCTGTCAGGTACTTGATGGTACTCCGGGACAATTATCTCGGATCTTTCACCCACTTTTCTACGCTTGTGGAGTACCTCGAAAAACGGACCAGGTTTAATTTGATTGGAGATCCACTGGAGATGAAGCATCGGTCAGGCAAAGTCAGTGAACCGGCTGTGTGTCTTGGAATTATTTAACGGACGAGATATAGTCAAACTCCCTACAGGTTCAGGTATCGATACAATTGCAGTCTGGAATAATGCTTTTACCTGCGGGTTTACCTGGCTATGAAGTACGCGTTGCAAGTGACAGAGCATGCGATGATATTGGCTCATCCACGGTCATGGCGTGTTCAATGCTTCAACTGGACTTACGACTACATGACTATTTCATGGGTAAGTCATCGTCAGACGATGAATCGTAACTATTTAATCGTGCAACAGATATGTCACTGAATCTGAATGCAATCAAAGGTTCTGTCCTTAAAGCTTGTTCGGAACATGCTTTCTTTGCCCAGGGACATCAATGTTATGAAGACTCATTCTTAATCGATGGTACTGTTGATTCCGCTTTGGTTTTGATAGTCATAACTCATCCGATTCAAAGGTCTAAATAT